TGTTCTGAGCAGGAGCCTTGAGGTGCAGCTGAGAATCTCAAAGAAAAGCCAATTGACAAGATTTTCCACAGAGAGACAAGTGAGCCAGCTCCAGAGCTCTTCCAGCAAGAGCCATCACCAAAAAAGTTTTCAAGTCCTGTTCAATCTGTTCTCCAAGGAAATGCATCTGATTCTCCAGGCCTTCTGCAGCATCACAAGGTGGATGTTCTGAGCAGGAGCCTTGAGGTGCAGCTGAGAATCTCAAAGAAAAGCCAATTGACAAGATTTTCCACAGAGAGTCCTGTTCCGTTGTCTTCCCAGCAAGGCTCACAGGCATGGCACTGCTCTCATATGCTGCAGAGGCCAGAGTCCAGCCAGGCTGCTTATGGCAAGGGTGTGCAGTGCATGTGAGGCAGCCAAAAATGAGCTTTTGTGGCTGCAAAACCATTCCAGCCAGGAGGTCTGGCAGCAAGTTACTGCCTGCCCAGGTGAGGGAAGCAGCCCCTGCATGCAGCTCGCTGGTTTTCATCCAAACACTGTTTGCTCAGAGTTAAGGAGATTCCCACTGCCTGATCTCTTAACTGTGGGGATACGTGGCTTTGGGAGAGCTGTCCCTGTGTGCAGTGTTGAGCTGGTGGTCTTCAGCTGCTCCTTGCTTAGTGGAGGTGTCACTTCATGTGCCTGCTTTGGGTAAAATTAGTCAGTACTGTAATACCAAAAGTGGTGTAGAAAAAGAATCATAGCTTCCAGCCCCTGGTCCTCCAGTGATGACAGCACCCACCTCGTTAGCACAAATCAGGATCTTTTTCAAATTAGGGTGTTTCTAGAAAAGCAGCAGCCTGTGGAGGCTGCTCAGTCCATAACATTTTCCTGCTCCAAATTCCTGTTGGCTCCAGTGGTGTTTCTGTTGTACACTTGCTCCAGAATGAAACCAACTTTGGTGTATTTAAGTGTATTTTTATTCACTTGCTAGATCTGATGTAAAAAGTGAGTTGTTTGGTTTGAAAATGCAGAGAGGAATGGGATACCCCTTGGAAAGGGGGAAATGTTTGAAAAGATAAGGAAGTAGAACCTTAAGGGTGTGAGAAGGGCAGCTAGGGAGATCAGCTGGAAGATGGTGTAGAGTTATACTGGGAAAAGTATGAGAACTAATTATTAGGAAGCTGACAAGGAATAAAGAAATCAAAAGTGATATCTTGAAAGCCATGAAGAGGCAGAGAATGTGCATTTTGGGGTTGAAAGCAGAAAAGGAGTGATTTTTAGAATTAAAGGATCTGCAGGGATGACAGACTGCAGCTGAAAAAAGGTAAAGATGAATTGGAAGAGAGTTGTGAGTTGTTCTGGTGATCATTAGAGATGTCTTTGGTGAAGTTGAATCAGCAACAAAGTGGAAAATTGCCATTTAAAGGACTAAAAGTCCCTATTTCTACAGGACATGTAAAATGGAAACAAATCCCTTAATAAATAAAGTGGAAGTAAGAACTAAGAAAGCAGCTCAGGCATAAAGACAAGAGTTATGTGTGTGTCTGCAGGAAGGGCAACACCACCACGTAACTGCTCCTTGTGTAATGCTTAGTTTGCTGTGGGCAGAAAGCCTCTGGAAGTTTGTGTGTGGCTCAACAAGTGAGAGACCCACATGAATTAAATGTTTGGTTCAGTGGTGGGATTGCTGTGCTTGGCATCACTCCCTGTGCAGATACACAGGGCCAAGCTGAAGAGAACAGTGACCATCCCCTCGTGGCTGGGCACACAACCAAAACAACCCCCTTGGATACATATTCAGGGCTAATGGGATCTGAAGGTAAAGAGCTTCTCAGGGAATACTGGATTATGTGTCTGTATTATATCAGATTGGTTTTTCAAAGCACAAAAAGCTGAAGAAGCAGCAGCAGAATGTGGAGTTTTAGGGATGAAAGAGCAGAGTGACAGGGAAGAGCTTCCCAGGCTGGTGGTAACTAGACATGGGCTGGGCTGGGCTGGAAAAAAGGCTCAAATTCTCCCTGGGCCAGGTGGACTGCAGGTCAGAAGGGGATAAATGTAAAAGCTGAGGTAAAAGTGGAAAAGCAGAAAATCAACAACAAGTTGGGGTGACAACACCAGAGGCGAGGCCTGAATGTATTCAGAGCTGAAGTTTGGAGCTGCAGGTCAATGTTGAACCAGCATTTGGCAACAAAGACACAGCAGGATCGAGAATGTGTCAGCAGAAGATGATTTCAGCAGGTGCACAGTTTGAGAGAGGTAATAAAAAAGAGTAATACTGTAGCAGATAGCTGTTAAGCCTCACAGAAGGGTGCTTATTAAATGAAAAGTGTTCACTCTAAATAAAAACTGTGGCAAAGTGGGGAAAATATGAATTGGTATGGGGTAAGAAAGTCAACAAAATAACCCCTGGAATGGAGTTTCCGTGGGCAGATTTAAAACCTGATTCAAAGGTGTCTCCAAACAGAAACACAACAGGTTCTGTGTTTGTAGGAGAAGAACACTGTGGCATTGCTCTGGCTACGGGGTGGAAACAGTAAAACCCTTGACTGGCAAACTGTGCAGTGACTCCTTGGGAACAAAAGCCACGTGTCTGGATGATCTGCAAGCAGCACAGCCAAAGCCCAGAGCCGTGGGGAGGCTCAGAAGAGCTCTAAGGGACAGCCAGGTGGAATCAAATGGAATTATTTTTAGGGAAAAAACCAGTTGGAATCTTACTAGTCCATGGCACCTGCAGGCAGGAGAGGTACTGAGAAGGCTTAGTACTTATTAACAGTACTACTTACTAAAAGTAGTACTTATTAGAATATTTCTGACAGTGATAGTGCTTGACACCATCACAAATAACTCTGGCAGCAGCTCCCTGCTGCAGTCTGATTCCCTGGCCATGGATTTCCCTGTTCCTTCCTCCTGTGCTGGCTCTGAGCTTCCCACAGCTTCATTCCTGTGGGAACAGGAAGAGGGACACAAATGACACAAACCTGCCCAAAAAGTGGAGCAGAGGAGACAGAGCAGTGGGTGGTGATCCTGCAGTGTGGCTGTAAGGAATGTGAAGGGTCTGCTCTTCCCCTCTGGGATGGATTTTGAGGAAAAAAACAGAGAGGGAGACAACAGCTTTTCTCCTCCATTTGTAGCTCCTTGGCTCGGCCAACACAGGTGCTGGGGCACATCCTTGCAGAGGGCAAAAGGAGAGCTGCTGGTCTGATTTCATCTTTTCCTTCTTGGTATTTTAAAACTCAGTAGTAAAGGAGCACATTCCCTCTTCTTCCCCTCTGCTGTACCTTCCCCTCCTGCCAGAGAGGCACCGCAGGGGGAAAAAGCCAAAGAACACATTTTTCTGCAGTTGCACAGGGCTGGTTTCACACTCACAGGCAAGACAGGAATGTTCAGCAAAGTGGAGCCATCTGTCTGCAGCACTCCCAGGGCTGCTGGGCTCCACATCACAGGGACCCTCTGGAGTGGAGGAGACTGAACAGGGCCAGGCTTTGCTCACAAGCCTTTAGAAGGTGACATTCTCAGGTGTAGTAAACTTAAAGTAGTCACCTACAGGGGAAAGAGTTGGGAAAAGCTTGGACAAGAAACAGGCATTAGTGCAGAAATAAGACACCTCTGCAGTGCTTTGAATGGTGTAAATGCTTCTAAATGTGCTCGCAGAGGGGTTTCCCATCACAGCAGGGATAAAAGTGCCCAAATAAATGGGTAAGTGCCCATATGGTGTTCAAATCATAAAAACACAGATGGGGAGAGATGGGTGAAGATTATGTGCAGAAAACAAAAATGAGAAAACTGCTCGGACGAGACAGCAGATGAAGCTGCTGTGGTGTGCTAGGAGTCACCCTGGAGCTGTCCAAAATGTGTGGATGTGGCATTGAGAGCATGGTTTAGTGGTGGCTTTTGCAGTGCCATGGGAAAGGCTGGACTCAGTGACCTTAACGTTTTTTCCAATTTTAATGATTCCGTGATTCTAAGCATGCTTATGGCAGAAAATAAGAATAGGCAGGGAATTAGGGAATTCTACCTTAAACTCAAGGTTAGGTAAAGCAGTGGGCTTTGAAGGAAGGGGGTGAAAAAAAGGACATCCATGGGTCTAGCTAAATAAAGTAAACTTGGAGCAAAAGTGTAGCAAGAGGTACACAAGAAAAGCTTGTTTTTTACCTTTCTGTATCTGCACAGCTGAGATTACTGTGGCAGTGAAGATACAAGTGTGGGTCACACCTCAGCTCTGCCTTGCCTTGATAATCCTCACCCCAAGCAGTGGAGGCACAAGTAGAAACTGCCTGAAACAGCAAAGCATCATCAGGAAAGGGATCCTTCCCACATGTGAGAGCTTGTGAACATGTTGTGACAGAAAATCCCCAGCTTGCAGCCAGACCTCAGCACTGGGACTGGTGTAATTACGGCAGGCAATAATTACACGGCTAATGAGGGATGGGGTGAACAGGCTGAGGCAAAGGGAAGGCAGCACTGGGGATACCACAGAGGGTGAGAGGAGCACGCAGCAAGAGGCGGGAGGTGAGATACAGGTTGGAGTGCTCCGGAACGGGAATTCACGGGTACACACAGAATAGTTGGGGTTGGAAGGGACCTCTGGAGAAGATCCAGTTCAAACCTCTGCCTAGGCAGAGTCACCTGGAGCAGGTGACACAGGAACTCGTACACACGGTTCTGGCAGGGCTGAGGAGGCGGCGGCGTGGTCGCAGACCCGGGGGGCTGTGGTGAGGATCCCGTGGGGCTGAGCTGAGGGCCCGGCGGGGCTGAGGCGGGGCCGGGGCGCCCGTGGCCCCTCAGCGACCCCGCCCGGCGGGAATCGCCTCAGCGCCGTAGTGGCGGGAAGCGCGCGCAGCCCCGCCCCTCCCCGCGCACGCGCGCGCTCTCGTGCGAGGTGGAGGCGGCGGGGCCGGAGCGGTGGGGGGAAGGGGGGGGCATTCGGGCGGCCCGGCGGCGCCGCCGAAGGGGCCCCGGAACTGCCCTCAGCGCGTCCCCCCCGCCCTCCCTGCCCTGACAGGCCTGGGGGAGCGGGGGTGTCGTGACGGGGAGTCGCGACACGCCGCGCGGGCACGGCTCGATGGCGCGGTGGGCTCGGCCCGGCACAGGCCCGAGGAGGCGGCCTCGGGAGTCCGCGGGCCCGGCGGGGCCTGGCGGGGTGCGGGCCCGCGGGCCCTCACAAAGGAGCTGCGGGGCTCAAACACGCCTCAGGCACGCCTCCGCCGTCCCGCCGACACGGGGCGAGCCCCGGGGAAGGTCAGCGGTGGAAGGGGGCTGGCAGGGCCGCGACACAATAAATAATCGCTATTTTTAAACTTAGGGAGCGCCTTGGCTCCCGCCGCGGCCTTCCCGCCTTTGGCCGCTCGGCTGTGCGGTTGTCTGGGGTTTTGCCGGCCCTAACTCGCTTCCTCAGGCGCGACAAGTGCCGCCGCTCGAGGGGAAGCTCACTCTGGCTCCGGTGCGCTCCGCTTCCTAAAAGAGGTCCCTAATCGCTATCAGCGCGATGGATACAGACCTGCGTGTGAGGCTCCCGGCTCCGCCGAGTGCCTCCCTGCCCAGGTGCTCGCAGCCTGCTTAAGGAATGCTAATCACCCTCCTCCCCGCCGTGCACAGGTTCTCTGTGGAGAAGGCTGTTAAATTCCACTCTGGAGCGGGGCTCTTCCAGGCAGCCTTCCGTTCCTGTATCCTTCTCCTTCTTGCCGCTCTAGGCGGTAGGGTGTTTTTGTGTAAAACATCGCAAAGATTTAAGGAGTGAAGGACAGATTCTGCGGGGGCTCTTGCCAGGTCAGGGGGCCCCATCGCCTTACCTGCTCCACCTGAGGACAGCTCCAGACTGGGAACACTGTTCAGAACAAATCCTTACTACGTGTATTTTAACTGTTTTCCCACTAACCAGTGTCTGCAGAACACTGGGGAACTGCCCAGCCTGTGCCGCAGAAAGAAAGTTGGATTATGTGAGATCGTGGGTGTGTTCGCTCCTTTATGCAGTGTAGCAGGGACTGATCGCTTGGATAGTTTGTTTATAGCTGTGGTATTTCTCAGATACTCGGATATTTCTCACTTCTTAGGAGCCCTAATTTATCTCTGGGTTAGCAAGTGTGTCACTTCCCCATTCTTAACTAACTGTTGAGTGTTGCACTCTGATTTCCCAGCACGTGACTTTTGTTTGCTTTGACCATAAATAGTATTTTTAGCATCTTCAAGAAAGAGTTGGCCAGCAGTGTTTGGCAGGCAGCTCCCATGAGGCAGGAAAGGTTGGGAAGTGCTTGTGTTTGTAAACAGCGTCCCTTCTCCAGAGCAGTGAGAGGAGAGGGACCTGAGTTCAGGAGGGGAGGTGTTTGATGGACTGGGCAAGAGACCACAGACCTTCTTCAGGTGAGACTTCAAAAAATAGTTGCATAGAGTGGGAGATCCTTGGAAATCAGGAATGAGTAGAGTGAAAAAAGAAAACAAAACCCCAAAAAAACCACCACACCGACACATAATTCCTGCTGGGGGAAAGAACCTGGTATAAATACCTTGAAAAAAAGTGGCTTTTGGAGCTTTCTCTTGTTTACCTGTGTGAGCTTGCTAATTAATGATCTTCTCAATTCATCATGCACATTGGTCAGGCAGAAGGTCCTGAATTGCTTTTTTGTCTTCAGAATGTATTTTCCTGCGTTTTTTTTTTTTTTCCCTTTCAGCAGAAAGTGACATGTAAATCTCTTGGCAGCGTTTTGTTACAAGTGACCCGGGGTCCTCAGAGGATTTAAACTTCTGTGAGAGGGAATAAAAGTGTTACATTGATGGACTATAATGGGAAGTGTGGGTAGATTTCTTACAGACTGCAATGAAATAATGGCTTTTATCATGTATAGTTTTGTCTGTAGAATAATAAATGATAGCTGAAGTAGTAGTTGGGAGGAGGGTTTATACTGTTGTTTTAAATTTATCTAGGCAAGGAGGAGGTGGCCTATAAAGGGTTCAAGCCCTGGTATGTAACACTTGCAGCCTAAATTTTCATTCAGGTGTCAGCAGTTTGTCAAAATTCATGAAGTTGGATCCTGAATTAATATATTTTATCCAAGGCTATGAAAACTTTCAGCAGGGGATTTTCTTGTTGGAGTTGTTTTAACTTTGTGACCTGAGCTTGTTTTAAACTTAAAGCTGAACCCTGTGCAAGCTAATGGGGGTGATTTCATCCCTCAGTGGCCATGTGGCAAAGACAGAGTGTGGAGAATTTGGATCGAGGGCCATTTGAGCCAAAAACTGTTCAAAACTTGTAACTGTTCCTCAGAGCTTGTCCCATCATGATCCTGAGCATCACTGTGGAGATAGATTATTTTCAGACACCCGTGCAGGCAGAAATTCTGCTTCATATTAATCCCTTGGCTGAAGTTTGTGTCAGTTTTGGGTATGATGATGCTGTAATTTAAGCTGCTCGCTGACTGTGGCTGTTTGGGGACATGAGGAAAAACCCCTGGGTGCAGGAATGGAAAATAATCCAGGCAACGGAAACAATCTGTTCTCACTGCCTTCTGTGCAGGTCAGAGATTGCTGGAGAGAGGATCAGAAACCTGTAGTGGTTTTCTGTTGAGCTGGTGTTCTTTGTGTGGAGAGCAGGGAAGGTGAGCCATGGCTGGTTACTTCTGTTTTAATGAGCAGATGTGGGGATTGAGCTGGCTTGGGGTTGCTGGTGTTGGACCCTAACAGAGACAAGTGCTGAGCTCAGCCCTGGGTGGGAGCATCAGTCTCACTTTAGTAATATACCAATTTTTAGTTTGTTTTTTGTCTTCACTGAAAGCAGCATCTGTGTGCACAGAAGGGCAGGGTTTAATTTTTGCTGTGCTCTGTAAAAATCGGGACAGGCAAGGTGTAAGTTGGGTTACATTCATGGCATTCGGAGTCAGAGGCTCAAATTCAACACTGAACAAAAATGTTTTCAAATGGAAATATATCTTTAGGCTTAAAAAACCCTCCTTCGGGTCTGTGAGTGTAGGAATTCCTGTGGTTGGATGCCAGAAGTGTGAAGGATTTTTGCTGTGCTCTCCTGAGCCCTGAAGTACATGGGGTTTGTTGTTCCCCCATTCCCCATGCAGGGAAGGAGGGGTGGACATGGACACAGTGACACAGGCTGAGGAGTTGCTGCCTGGCGAGTGCAGAGCTCTGGGCTCTGTGTGCTGGACCCCTGCTCCTGGGTGATTGAAACAAGCTGCTCTGGGCAGGGCTCAGCTAGCCTGGAACAGCCCTGGGAGCCTCACTGCAGGAGAGCTGCACGTGCAGACCTTGGAACTGAACTGGGGGGAAATTCCAGGAGCTGGGACACCTCCTGGGGAATGGTGGCCCTAAGGACTGGGACAAAACTTGTTGGATGCAGCAGGAGTGATGGGAATGCCAGCTGTGCTCAGCACATGTGAGAGAGTTTCCAAGTGGGTTGACAAATAAGGATCAGAAGTTGGAACTAACTTTATATTTTTTTATTCAGTAACATATTTTATTAATCTGCAGGACTTTAGCTAAGGACTGGGACAAAACTTGTTGGATGCAGCAGGAGTGATGGGAATGCCAGCTGTGCTCAGCACATGTGAGGGAGTTTCCAAGTGGGTTGACAAATAAGGATCAGAAATTGGAACTAACTTTATATTTTTTATTCAATAACATGTTTTATTAATCTGCAGGACTTTAAGCTGGTTTAAATAACTAAGTACTCCTGGGATGACTTAGCCAGGACCACAGGCAGCTCCATGAGCTGGAAAAGCCAAAGGCAGGGTGCTGGAACATCTCAGTTGGCAGGCAGTGGTGGCCCCAGCTGGGAGCTCCTGCCAGACACATTTGTATCTGAGCTGTTGCTGGATGGTGTACTGTGACCATGTGGATATGAGGGTTTGACAAAGTATCTGCTGCTACCTGGGCTGGGCTTTTGGGGAACAGCTTGGAGGATTTCAGGGGGACAAAGCTTAAAAGAATTGTGCAGCTTGCAGTTTAGAAGGTGATGCGTTTTGGCATGTTTGATTTGGATTTGCAGAAGTATTAACATTTCCTGTGTTTTTTTCAGCAATTCCAAGTCATTTAAGTACTCTTGTGTATTATAGAGTAGTAAATAACTGTTAGTAATTGATAGCCTGATTTTTAAACCCAGTTTTACTTTGCTTTCTAAGGCTTTCTGATAACAAACAGCTGTGTCTTGCTTACATTACTTGTCAGGTTGCTGGATTTGTACCCCTTGACGCCCTGCCTTCTAACTTGCAAGTGCATAAAACCTTTTTTTAGCTCTTTTTGACCTCGTTTCCAGGCCGGTGGTGTCGTGTGCTTTGTACCCAGTCGTATCTAAGTACATCAATCACCCGCAGGTGTCGTGTGACAGTAAGGGGACACCCCACTGGCCCAGGATTGGACACACTTCCTTGTTTTTCCATTGCATATTTGTTTTTAGCCTTCTCACCCTACCCTGAGTCCCTGTCAGCTGGAGTTTCTACCAGCCTGACACTTGGATTGCCATATTCAAAACTTAGTTTATCCTAAAGCATTTTCTCTCTAAGGAGATTGAAGGCTGAGATAAGTTGAAAAATCTTAGAGCCAGCAGAAATTCAAGAACTCAGACAATTTTTTTTTTTTTTTTTTTTTAATTCTTGTGTCTCTTGCATTAGTGGAGGGACTCCATGCTTTGGAAATATTATCAAATATGTGTCTCACCTGAAGCCTCCCTTTATTTATTCCTAATGGTGTGGTAGTTCAAGAGGAAATTGCTATAGGTGGTTCAGAGTAGTTCCTGAAAAACTCTCTCTACCTTTGGATTTTCCATTAGCAGCTACTCCCTGAGCTGTGAGAGTGGACACATTCCTGCTCATCTAGAAATCCAGGAGTTTGGGGGGGCTTGTTGCTTGTTAGCTCCTTGCTGGATTACCTGCTTTGGAATAACCAGTTCATGATAGTCTAGGAGCCTGTGAACCTGCAGTTTTCCTGTAGAAAAAGAGGTGTAACTCTGTGAGGAGTGACTTTCTGTACTTTGGTGAAGGTTAGTATCCTGGTGGTGTTTTCACTGATGATGTGATTAAAATTTTCTGACAGTTGATCATATTTAAATGTTCATTAAAATCACCCAACAATCACTTTGCCAACTGCATCCTCAGCTGGTGACCTCTACTCCCTTTCAAGGCACAATGTTTGTTTGGTGTTTGTGTAAATGCAAAACACGTTTGTTACTTTCATTTTTTTATTGAGTCATGATTGTGATTGTAGCTGTGATTCCTGTTTAAAGTTGTCTTTTGAAATAGTGTGTCCAGGTAACAGTTGGTTTGGGTGACTCGATTTCCCCTTTGCACACATCTGGTTTATTTGGAGAGGGAAATGAGGTTTTCTGCATTGTCATTGCAAAACTTTCTCTTTTTCTGCTTTATCTTTTTGATGAACTGAATTCAGGCCTGTTTGTGGTTGACACTTCACACTCAATGCAGAAAACCACTTTTGATGCCCCTGTGGAAAGAAATGGGCTGAGCAGGCAGAGTCCCTGTGAGGATGCTCTCACGAGGTGCAGCTTCTGACCTTGCCCCTGGAGATCAGTGCCTTGCAGTCGGGAGGGCATTGTCCTCCTGCCCCTTTGATTCCCTGGGAGATGACCCGTGCCTGGGAATGCTGAGGGACTCAGCAAGCCTGGATTTCTGCTGGATCCTGGCTTGTTTGCATGTACTGTAGGCACAGAAGTGAGGAATTGTGCTAAGTTGTACTCTCGAGAGCAAAAAGTCTCCAGTGCTTTATACACTCATCTAAACAAAAGGGTTTTCAGAACTTGAGGAATTTTAGCTCAGAGTTGGGAGTACTGTTTTTGTGCATGTGTCATGCAGGTCAAACAGCTTAAAAATAATTAAACCCCAGGACCATGTAAGCCACAGTGTGGCTTGTGTGTGTTTTTTGATCCCAGGGAATGAGTCTTTTGTAGGCCCCAACTGATTTTCCTGAGAGGGAATCTGTAGTTGGTTATTTTAGGACTCACTTCAAATTTCTGGCATTTCCTTAAAGGGCTTTAGACTCTGCTTGCTAGAAGAAATACTGAATATTGAGCTGAAGCCTGGTGAAAATTTTAATTTCTTTTTCCTTTCACTTTCCACACTTGAGGAAGAAATGTTCCTCAAAACAGGCCAAATTTTTTTTTAAGTGCTGTGCTAAATTCTGTATATTCTAGCTGGCAATTAGTATATTTTCGCATCCTGACATTTCACAAGAAAGCTTCATGCATCTCATTTTTTTGTGTTGTTGGCATGTGCTGTGTTTTGATCTTTCTGCTTTGCCTCAGAAGAAAACATCCAGTGCCGTTGGGCTTTGCTTTCCTTGGTGCTGAGGCAGGACCAGTTCCCCGTGGGTTTTCAGAGTGGCTGTTCAGTTCCTGTCAGAATGCCTCTGACTGATTAGGGATCCCCACTGCTGAGTAATGACAGGACTGTGGTTTTGGGCAAGAAGTGGTGTTGGTGTGGCACAGAGCTGTGCAATGGGGAGAGCAGTGCTGAAACTGTGCTGAAGGTCAGCTTGAAAGCAGGGCTGGGGCTGGGGCTGATGCTGGGTCTGCGGCAGGACCAGTTCCCCGTGGGTTTTCAGAGTGGCTGTTCAGTTCCTGTCAGAATGCCTCTGACTGATTAGGGATCCCCACTGCTGAGTAATGACAGGACTGTGGTTTTGGGCAAGAAGTGGTGTTGGTGTGGCACAGAGCTGTGCAATGGGGAGAGCAGTGCTGAAACTGTGCTGAAAGTCAGCTTGAAAGCAGGGCTGGGGCTGATGCTGGGTCTGTTCAAGAGGAAAACACCAGGCTGGAGAAATACTTATTGAAAGAGAAAGTTTATGGTAAGTGCCTGCCTTCTGAGCAAAAGGAGACACCCAGAGGAGGTGAAAACAGAGCATTTGGCTGTCTCTGTGTCAGGAGGGGAGCAGGGCAGGCTGAGCTTGGTCTTTGGATGCAGCTGGGACAGGTCCAGCTGTGGTTTGCTGGAGGTGAGGCTTTGCCTCTGAGATTTTTAAAGGGGATTCTGAGAGGAAGTGAGTGAGCCAATGAATCCCAGTTTTGTGATGGAATTAGTGGAGCCCCTCTCCTTAGGAGAGGCCAGTGCAGGCAGATGGGCAGCAGGTAAGAAAGGCTGTAAAAGCATAATAGTAGTAGGGGATGAGTCTTGAGGGTTATACTAAGCTTAACCCATTTGTTATCCATGACAGTGCATGTGTTTGCAGCAGAGCTTTGGCAAGTTTATGTTTTCTGGTAGAAGGCATGGAGGCTGTTCTTCTGATTGTCATTGTTTTTGTCAAAAGATTCCTTAATTTCTTTAAATTGCATGGGGTTTAGTTTGAGGGGCATGGCTTGGGTTCCCAATGCTGGTATCTTCTGCCTGACAGATGTAATGGTGTCATGCCTTGGCTCCAAGTGCCAGCTCCTGCTTTTACCCAAAGTCACTGAGTGACCAGTTCCCTCACTCACAGTGCAATGGCTGCATCTCATCAGTGCTTGCCCTTGACTTAAAGAGCCTTTTTGTCTTTCAGCCATCTTCTGATGGAGCAGGTCTGGCTTGCACCTTTCCCATTTCTGCTCCACCCATAGCTCACCAGTTTGCACACATGTTTTAGCACCTTTGTTGAATGCAAGTGTTGCTTGTCAGTTGTGTTGGTCATGAGCTGCAAGTCATTTATCCTTTTCTTTTTAATCTTTAATTTGATAGATATGTGGACGTAGATGTTTTTGTTTTGTTAATTTTCACACCACATCTTTTCTGTACTTTAGGTTGACTCCTCACTGCACTGTGAAAACCATTAGGAAAAAGTCCTTGGGGTTAAAACCTGGGGCTCCACAGTTACCTGCACTTGGGTCTAGAAATTAATTTAAATGTCGACTGATCTGTCTGAAGCTGAACCCGTGCATCATAAGGCGCTTCCACTCTTAACGGGAGCTCAGCTGATCCACACGGACAAGTTAAGTGAGGTAGGGGCTGGCCCTTTCTCCAAGCTTGCCCTTGGATCAGTCCTTGACTTCCAGTCCTGCTCAAGGTTACTCAGTACTCTTTCTGCCCTGCTTCTAGGAAACTCAGCTGGGAGTCTAACAAACTCTGCTTCCCCTTCCCTGCTTTCCCTGAGATGATGTGTCTGTCAAAATCCTCAAATGCTCATCTCATTTAATTTGGGATTGAAATTATTTCTTTTATAACCGTAAAATGTGGAACTATCCTCTCCTAGTATGCTTTGAAGAAGCTGGTTTGAGGGCTACTGTCATTTAACATCCTAAAAAATCCAAACCAGAATATTTCAACCTATGCTGCTTTGATTTGCTTTAATCCCATTTCAAAACTTTCCAATTCTTTCCAGCATCTGTGCTGATTTTCACGTGCTTTTTGTAGAAAGTGGAAGACGACACGATGCCAATCCGCCGCTCGGTGAACGCTTCTTCCCGAGAAACTCCTCCCAAAAGCAAACCTGCCGAAGGGGAAGAGGTCAAAGCAGGTACAGTCACGGTTCTGGAGGGGGTTCATGTCTATCCAAACTCAGGCTGGCTCTCAAACTCCTGGAAAACCCTCCAGCCAGGATGCAAATATTATTAATGTTTGGCTCCCTGTCACAGGCTTTTCCAGGATTTGTGTTTTGCAGACACTGTTTGCAGTCTGAACCCACTTGTTTTGTCTTTTATACCCTGTGTCACTCCAGACATGAAAATATGGCTAAATATCATCCCTTTTTAAGTTTGCACATCCTTTAGGGTAAAGAAATTATGAAATTTCAGTAGCATCAGAAAGATGGTTTGAGATCAAAAGGAGCAGTTAATGAATGGAAAAACAGAGTATTCAATTTTTTTTTCTCAATTTTTCTGAGCAAAAATGTTTTACCACAACAAGTCATGCAATCTAGTCTGATATTAACATGACTGCTCTTAGCAGCTTGGCCTCAGTGTCCCAGAATGTGTCATTCCACTACTGCAGTCAGTTGGTTTCACTGACTCTTCACTGTCCTCTTCGGTGTCACAAGTAAAAAAACTACCTACAAAACTGACTCTTAATTCACTGTATATTTTAAAGGCCTCCATGGGAAAACTGCACAGGAATATATCAAAAATACTTAAGCTGCACAGAGCAGTGTTGATGGACAGTTATTTATCCAGAGTGTGGAATTTCAGTTTATATGCATTTTATCTAGTAGGCAGCCCAGGCTTTAAGGCCTGTTCCCAGGTAAATGTACTTCTATGGATTTTTGATTTCCTTGGTAAGTTGATTTCTGACTGGATTTGATCCTTCTGATATACAAGTGCTCCTGCCAATGCATGTGCCACCTAAAGCTTTGCCAAGTCTGGGGAAATGTGATGGAATTGTAATTATCCTTTAGGTGCTTTTGTGTTTGAAAATAACTGGGTCATAAGCAAAGCTACTTCTTGGAATCCCAGGTCTGTCTGCAACAGCAACTTGTGGAGTTAAGAGGAGAACACTGTGGGAACTGGTTAATTGTGGAAATGTTGCATGATGCTGTTTGCAGTTATTCTGGCATTTGGGGGCTGATTGCACCTTTATTGATGCTCTTTTCAGTACTTTTCTTCACTTTTTAAATTGCTTTTAAATAACACCTTTAAGTTAGTGAAAATAAATTGGTTGGAAATAATTAGTGGGGTGTGTTCTTAAGTTTGGCTTTTGTTCCCTCTACCTTCCTGAAGAACGAGAGCTGGTTTTGGACAGCAACTTGATGCTTTTTCACATTTTTCTAGATGCAGAAGTCACCTCTGAGGAATCTGCCTCTGTTGGAGAGGAGCAAGAGACTGAAACCGTGCCTGCTGCATCCAGTGAAGCAGAACAGCCAAAGGAACCTGAGAATGAAGGGAAGGAGGAAACAAAGTCCTCAGAAGAAACCAAAAAGGAGTAAGGCTTACTTGGCGCTGAATTCAGGGATTTGGGTGGGATTCTGAAGGAAGTCAGGCTCTACAGAGAGAAAAGGAAAATGAGTGCCTTAAGGTGCCTCTCCTTAAGATACTTCTAAGGAAGAAGCTCCTGATCACATGGAACTGCTGTTCTCAAACATGTGAAGCTGAATACCAATACAAGGTCTCTCTTTTACTAATAGAAACATCAAAGTAGTCCTTAAGTTACATTAAATAACATCAGATCTTCTGGGCTTGTTGTTGTTGTTGTTCCTGTCCTACTTGTTGGCTTGTTTTAGTGCTTTTTTTCTTACTATTGCTCTGCATTTTCCCTAAGAGAGAAGGACCAGACTAAGGAGAAGGAGAAGAAGGTGAAGAAGACCATCCCTGCGTGGGCCACGCTCTCTGCCAGCCAGCTGGCTCGGGCACAGAAGCAGACTCAGATGGCAGCCACCTCCCGGCCCAAAATGGACGCGATTTTAACCGAGGCCATCAAGGTGGGCAGGACACAAATGGGGTTTTTATTCAATTTGTGTCCTAAAACATGCAATTTCAGCTTGTTGAGGTGCAGGTGACAGTGCTGGGTGTTAGCAGGAAGCTGGGTGTGTTAGATGGGTGTGCTTGTGCCTGGAATCCCATGGAGCTGGCATGTGAGTCCATGAGGATGATGAGGGGCCCTGTAGCTGATTTCTTTGTTTAGAATTTGTTTCCTTCCCTAATTACATTATGAGGAACAGCTAGGATGGCATAACCTGGTTGATTGCTGTCATAATTTTGTTTGCTGTGCCTCCTAGCCACATTGAACTTCATTTACCTGGATTCATCCATCTATTTGATCCATGTGCTTTCTTTTAGCATTAACTTACTCTAACTCAGTACAGATGGAGATACTGTAAACCTGCATTCCAAAGTCTTGGTTTACTTGGTCTTGGTTTACTCAGTCCCTCCTGACTGTAAGAGATCTCTGCTGTTGTAGCTGTGCTGCTGCTCTCCCCTCAAGGCTTGGTCACTTCCTTCAGAGGAGGCCTGGACTCCACCAGCCTTAATTACAAGATGGCCTTTCCATCTAGCTTCAAAAGATGAACTTCACCTTAGGTTTTGCCAGTTTACTGATGTCAATCCTCCATCTTCTTAAAAAAATAATGGGCAGGTTGTTCCGACTTAATCATTACTCAGTCTGGCATTAATAAAGTGTTAGTAAATCAGTTGTGCAGCATTGCCAAAAGGTGACTACTTTGTATTTTAAGCCATTCTGGGTGAGGGCTTCAGAGCAGGGGAGTAGTAGATATGTGCTTGCTGTGCTGCTTTTGTGTTGTTTGTGTTGCTCTTCAGCTACTCAGAAGAGGAAAGTTAAGTATTTTGATAGTCATGTTTTATACTTGATTCACAGTGGGAAAAAGGCCAGCCCTGGCATCCTGTGGTGGCCTGTGTGCATCAGTCCAATCTCTGTTCTTCCACCCCACTCAGGATAATTCCAGTGTGGGTGGTTTCTGATGTTTTGTGTCTGTTTCAGGCCTGCTTTCAGAAGAGCGGTGCCTCGGTCGTTGCAATACGGAAATACATCATCCACAAATACCCTTCCCTGGAGCTGGAGAGGAGGGGATACCTCCTGAAGCAAGCACTCAAAAGGGAGCTGGAGAGGGGAATCATTAGGCAGGTAAGAGCTGCTTTGTGGAGCAGCACTGGAGATGGCATTGCTGAAGAGGGACTGGAGTGCCAGAACAAGGGGGAATGGCTTCAAAGTGCCAGGGAACAGAGTTAGACGAGGTATTGGAAAATGATCCTTCCCTGGGAGGGTGAGGAGGCCCTGGCACAGGCTGCCCAGAGAAGCTGTGGCTGCCCCATCCCTGGCAGTGTTCAAGGCCAGGCTTGGAGCACCCTGGGATAGTGGAAGGTGTCCCTGCCCATGGCAGGGGTAGAACTGGGTGATCTTTATGATCCCCTTCAGCCAAAACCATTCCAGGATTCTGGAAACTGCATAGGAATTCCTTAACTTCATTAGAAGGTCTGTGAAATGAGCATGTTCTCCCTTGTGGAGGTTCCTCAACCTCTGCCACTGCTTTGCTGGACACTGGCAGGATTTCAGCACTGTTGTGTCAGTCGCATGCTTGGCACCGTTGGTTTTTGTGCAATTGCTGCCATTTCTGGGTGTTGTGTCACACAGCATTGCAGCAGCACGTGAGTCCAGCGGTGTCACTTCTGCAGCAGTGTGGGTTTTAACTGTAATTTATACTTGTGTTATCTGTCAGGATCTACTGGTCAGCACTGCAGAGTATGTCCCAATGTCTGGGGGCAGTTTCTGATCTTACAGAAGTTTCAGTGGGTTCAAGTCAGGCCTCTGCCATAAAAACCCACTGCAGGGTGACAGTGCATTCAGAATCTGCATCATGATGAATTCCTCTCAGGTTGTTAGTATTCTGAATTACTCTGCTAAGGACTAAAATTTACTTTCTCTTGAACCAGGTGAAAGGAAAGGGAGCTTCTGGGAGCTTTGTGGTGGTGTCTAATGCAGGAAAAACTGTTCCAAAAGCCAGAGACAGAAAGGTAAGATGGATCATTTTAAACAACACTCTGAAATGTACTGCACTGAAACCACGTGGACCTTACCCAACGTTCTCAACCCAGTGTTCTCCTCCTTCCTGAGCTTTTTCTCCACAAGTACAGCAATTAAAACACCCGTCCCACGGGTATTAGAAAGCTACTGTGAGGAATTAAACCCAAGTCAAATGATCAAAATCTTTTTAAAATGTTTACATTAACCCCCTAGGCTTTGGTTCAGAGAAACAAAACTGAATAAGCATGAAACTCTTCTTCTGTCTTTACTGGGCAGAGAGAAGTGTCTCTCAGGCAGTGGAAAAGAGTTTTGTGCTACTGCTATGTGTGTTTTATCTGTTGTGTGGATAAAGGGAAGACTCCAGTCTTTAGGACTGAGGGGAATGTTTTCAGCTGTGAGGACAGAGGAAGGAAAAAGAAAATGTCCTAAGGCTTCTGGAAGAAAGTTGCTGGTGCTCAGTGTTGTTGGGGAAGGAGATGGTTTATTGAGCTTCACAGTTAGTTGTGGTTCCAGCACTTCTGATCTCCACTCCATGCTGTGTTGAGTGTGTGAAACACATTCCTAACGCTGCAGTCACAAAATGCTTAGCTGGAATTGCCAATCCCTTGGGATTGGAAAGGTGATGTTAGAACACCTTGGTGGTCATCTCCTGCCTCCTGGGGAGACCAAAAGCCCTAAAACTGAACTTTGTGTAGGGCCCTGGAGGAGACTAATTGTAGTGGAACTTTTTAAACAGAGCTCACTGGCTCCACAAGAAGTGTGAGCAAGGCAACTGACACCTGCTGACACATCACCTCTCTCTGCAGCATATGGGTATCTTTGTTCCCAGTTACTTTCTCTGTGTTGCAGCAAAACAAATGTTTTGGATGAATTTGGCTGTCAGGGGAGCAGCTCCCTCACCCACTGCGCTGTGTGCAGAGCTGCTGTTGAGCATCAAATCACTGAACTTCAGCACATTTTCTGTATAAAGAACAGACCATTTTTCCCTGATCGTCCTCTCTCATAGTAACAAAAGAGGTGGAGGAAAACTCAGAATGGAGCATTGGCTTCAATCAAGATTTTATTGTGTTATTTCAAAAAAAAAAAAAGACTCCTGTTTATCTGTTCATTTTGGGGATGGGGAAGACTTGATTTGTGTAAACAGGTTCTGTCTTTGATGAGTTTTAAGTTTCGTGTCAGCATGTATCATTATCTTCACAGAAAGGGTTGTAAAACATTGGCACAGGGCATCCAGGGAGTCACCATCCCTGGAAGTCTTCAAAAAACCTGCAGTTGTGGCACCTGGGGACATGGTCTGGTGGTGAATATGTCAGTGCTGGGTTAATGTTTGGACTTGATGATCTTGGAAGGCTTTCCCAGACTGAATAATTCTGTGATTCTATGATTTTTCTTCTGTCTCACTGAAATGTGACAGAGGAAGACGTCTATAGCAAGAGAAAGGAAGTAATTAAAAATACAGATGTTAGGTACTCAGCAATTTTTATTTGTAAAGCCTTTCTAAAACTCCTGTGAAAATTCAGCCAGATTTTCTGTATATCTCTTAAGCTGCAAACTGTTTTAAGTTGTTAAAGAGCTGCCTTACAGCTCCTGAATTTCCAGCTCAGCAGCCAGTGTCAGGAGCACTTATCCCCACATGTGCATTGCTGGCTCAGAAACCCAGAGTTTTAGGCCCTGCTGATGCATGCAAGTCTGTGTATTGCAGAAAAACACTTCAGCCCCGAGTGCAGAGCAGCAGGTGAAGCTGGAGGATGTCCTGCCACTGGCCTTCACTCGCCTGTGTGAGCCCAAGGAAGCTTCTTACAGCCTGATCAAGAAATATGTGTCTCAGTACTACCCCAAACTCAAAGTAGATATAAGGTAAGTGCTGGAGTTGCTTTAGCAAGCAGAGGACTGGGGAAACTGGGCCTTCCTGTGGTTCTGTCTTGCCTCACAATGATTCAAGCTGGTATTTAAGCCAGCTGCTGCTCTGAGTTGCAGGGCCTGTGGGAAAACTTGAGGAAAAGCTGTGCCTTTTCTTGTGTCCCTCCACATCCCATCTTTGTTCCTGACACCACCAGCAGCGCTGCTCTGCACACCTTAACCATACCCACATCCTTTACTGCCTGGATGTGAAGGGCTCTCCTCAGGGTCTCATGCCCCTTGGATCTGGATGCTTTAGCCAGCAAATACATACAGCAATCTTTAAGCTGACCTGTACGGAGCAAGCTGAGACTTGGGAAGCAAAACTAGGAAAACCCTGCGTGTCACCTCTAACAGGGCTTCGTCAGCCCTTGTTTGCCTGTGAGCTGAGTGCCCACCACGTCCAAATGTGCTGCTCAAGGTGAGTGGGTCCTTGCCAGGGCCGCGTGCCCGGAGTTGCCAGCGGTGCCGTGACACCGAACCTGTGCTGCCGCTCGGCTCCCAGCGTGGTGCTGCCTTCTGCCCGGGCAACGAGCCTCGCTGACAGGTCTCCATTTAAAGTGTCTGCATGTAGGCAGATGCTCTAAGTGCTGCTCTGCTCACATGCTGCAAAGCGCTGTTCCTCTGTTTGTTTTTGGAGCTGTCAGTGTGTGTCAGTAAAGCTTTCTCCTCCTGTGTTTCAGACCCCAGCTGCTGAAGAACGCCCTGCAGAGAGCTGTAGAGAAGGGCCAGTTAGAGCAGATCACAGGGAAGGGAGCATCTGGGACATTCCAGGTCAGAGACTGGCTTCATCCTTGTTGACCACAAGCCTCGGATGTCAGTTACTGCGCCCTGTCCCCTGGTTTCCCTGGGCAGCCCTTTCTTCAGCAGTCTGGCATGCTCAGCACTTGTCCAGCTATGAAGCAGTAGGACTCTTGTTCTCCTCTCGGTCTCCGTTTCAGGAGCAGACCCCAGTTCCCTTGCTGAGTGTGCTGCATGCACTGCTCAGCGCTGACTCACCAGCACAGTTGGGAGCTGGTGGGGTAAGCTTTCCTTTCCATCCCTCACTGGAAGTGCAGCAGGTACCCCAGATGCCTGCAACATCTTTTACTCATGTGTGTGCCACGGAAGGCTCTTGGGTACATTTGGTCTGTGGGATGGAGGAAGATGTGATTTATTTTGCTTTCTTTCCTCCCTTGAGCAGTAGGCCCTTAGACTGCCACATCCTTGCAGTGTATTTGGGGGCTGGGGTGAGGTGTTGCTGATAAAGCCCCCCAGGCCAGCTGACTGCCTAGGCCTGTCCTCCCACCTACAGCTGGGAGAGCAGCGTTCCCTGTGCAGTGTTTTAATATTAAACGTATCTGTGCTAATGCAGGAGCGCCGACCCACCTGGTGCAGAGGAGCTTGTCCTGACCTGGTTTGGGAGAATTTTGTCTTGATGCTTTTCTCTTCCTCCTTGGAAAATAGCTGAAGAAATCAGGGGAGAAGCCCCTGCTGGGTGGGACTCTGATGGAAGATGCCATCCTGTCTGCTATTGCGGCCATGAATGAACCGAAGACCTGCTCTACCACAGCGCTGAAGAAGTATATCCTGGAAAATTACCCAGGGACCAACTCCAACTTGCAGGGTAAAGTACTGATCCCTGTACTGCTTCTATTCTGTATGCTGAGAGAGTCCTGCAGCTGCAGATGTGCCTGTGCAGCACCTTTAAACTGCTCTGTTGAGCTTGCAGGGAGCTGCAGCTGCTCAGCCCTTTGTGCTGCAGAGATGCTCTGGGATTTTAGTTCCCATCAGTCGCTTTCAAGCCAGTTCCTGAGACAGAATGCATGATTCTCTTGTTTATAGCCAGGAAGGGGGAATAGTATTTAAGTACTTTATTGTTCTTAAATCACCAAGTTGATTTCATATCTCTCTGCTTTGAAAGGGACAGCAGCTTGCATCAATGCAGTTCCTAATTGCTTTTTATTGAGAGAACTTGTGTAGTTTAACTTTTTAAAAAAATTCACAAGCTCCCCTCTTACTGATTTGTTTGAGGCCCTACTTTGCATCTGATTTTTTAAAGGTCAAGCAAATAAGGAGAAAAGCCAATTGTATTTTATTTGGAAGGGAGACTGGCATGTCTTTGTTCCCAGGAGTGACACTAATGTCTGGTTTGACTTTTGCCTGAGCAGAGGCTTTCAAGCAGATGTTCTGGTGGCCTATTTGGGTTATTTGGGATGAGCCCCCATGCAGTTGATTGGTGCTGGAGGTCCATAGATACAGGCTGAGGTCAGTGGTCTCTGCTCAAACCTGAACATAGATCAGTGTGTTCCTGTGGTGTTTGTTCACCGAGCTGGTGCCATTCCTCAGGAGCAGCGAGGAGATTTCTGATCCCACAGTCTTTACCCAGAGCTGGAGCACAGCATCAGCACAGCTGTTTGGTGCAGGGTTACTGACACACAGCACAGGTTCCAGGACTGAAGAAGCTGCCCTGAGGCCTTCTGCCAATTAGAAATTGATGCTGAGTGTGACTTCTTAATCTCGGGGCAGGGAAAAGAGGCTCCAGGCTTCCTAAGCCCTCGCATGGTTTATTTTCAGGACCATTGGAAATGTCCCTGGTCCTTAGGGCCTGTGTTGAGCCAGCCTCCAGTGCTTGTCACTCCTGCAAGGCCGATAAGGAAACCTCAGCTCGCAATCTGTTGTTTTCTTTCTCCTTCCGTTGCATAAAAGGAATTTTGATGATCTCTGCTTTGTTCTGAGAGAACCGGAGGAAGATCTGGTGAGATGTGAAAAGCAGGCGGGTACACACTGCAGAGCAGAGCTCTGCTCCCTCCCCAGTTTATGGCTCATTGCAGAACTGGACTTGATTGGAGTCAAATCCCTTATGTGCTGTTATTGACCTTTGACACCCAGAGTGAAACCAGCCTGGTGGTTATAAAAACTTTGGAACGTGCTAGAGAATGAACTTTGTTTTTTTCCTGGGAGCTCAATATGTAAATGGCCCCTCTAATTCATGCTGAAAATAGTTCTGAACTGACTAAACAACCCAAGCCCTTTGCCAGAGACAAAGATCCCCTGTACTTGCACAGTTTGAGTTTCAGTTCTTACACAGTACACAATGGAATGGCTGGAATAAAAGTCTGGAATAAAAGTCTGGAATAAGAAGTTCATTTGTTGTATTTCTAGACCAAATATTTTACCCTTTAAAAAGCAAAACAAAAAGCAAACCACAGTATGGGGAAAGATGCAGCACATACAACATTTAGAACATGACGAGATCAAAACCAGGGTAAAAGGATTGTTTTAAAACACACTTAAGAGGACAGTCTGAGACCTGGGTTAAATTTGGACAGAGGTAGTTACACGGTGCTCTTGAATGACTTCTGAAGGAGCATCCCATGATGATAACATCAGAAACATGCACTGTTCTCAACTCCTTCCTTTGGAGACTTTAAAGCCACTCTTGCCAGGTGCTCAGGAACAACATCTTGTATCTTGCTCAAATTGACTGAGAGGATTTCCCATCCTGACTCCAGCTCTGATTTCAGAGGGCACACTAGAGAGCAATAAGATCAGACAAGAGGATAAAGATAGTAACACAACCTTTCTCTGATTTCTTTTTCACAGTGCATCTACTGAAGAGAACCCTGCAGAAATGTGAGAAGAATGGCTGGATGGAGCAAATTTCTGGGAAGGGCTTCAGTGGAACCTTTCAACTTTGCTTCCCTTATTATCCCAGGTAAAGAGCTTGTCTGTAAGATGATGTTCAGGAGTTTTGCACAGCTCAGGTATCAGAGTTGGAGTTCATGAGCCAACCTCCTATTTACAGGGAGGTTGTGGAGGGTTTAATCACTGGTGAACTGCCATGTTGTCACCCATGTTCTGGATAATGGCATTACTTGGGTAAACAGAAAGCTGACTTCATTAGCAAGGGAAGCTTTAATGGCAGTAGAATACTTGGCTCAGTGTCCTCAGGTAGTCTGTTGTGCTGCTTTTGTTGCAGGCTGGGCTATTTAAGTGTTCTGTGCTACAACCAATTCACCTGAGCAGGGAGTGGGGTGGGTTCTCCACGCCAGGATGCTCCCAAGGAGCAGGACCCAGCTGTTCTTTACTTAAGGGAGGAGAGGAGGGAGGATGACCTAGATTAGCTACTCTGAGTCTAAACCAGCCTTTCTTCTCCAGCTGTGAGCTGAGACTGTGCTGGGCCATGTGGAGCCCTGGGATGAGGCCTTGGTGTCCCAGGAAGAGCCAAATGACAGCACAGACATTGAAGTGCCTGTTCCCCAGCTCCCTTTATTGCACATGTGAGCCCCCACAGCTTCAGCCATGCTTAGCTGCTGGAGTCTGATCCTACCCCTTTGCTGTTCCTCTCCCTGGGTTTGCAGGGAAGGAGCAATGAAGGATAGGAAAAATGGGGAAATGGAGAAGGGACAGCTTAGGGCTGGTACATTCCCAGGCTGTCATGTTTCTGCCATTGCAGAGACTAAATAACCTTGGTTTGGGACAGCAGCAATCACATAATTCCTGGGGGTGATTCTGGATTGGGCTAAAGCTGCAGTGCCACAGGAGAGCCAGGGTCACCCAGGGCTTGCCTACCCTGGGGCTGTACCTTAAAAGCAAATCACGCTCTGACCAGACCCCTCTTGTAGCCCAGATGTGCTCTATCCAGAGAAGCAGCAGGATGAGGATTCTGAGGAATCTGAGGAGGAAGAAGAGGAGGAATCTGAGGAGGAAGAAGAATCTGAAGAGGAAGAGTCTGAGGAGGAAGAGCCACCACCAAAGAAGAGGTATGGCAGCATGAGAGATGAGTGGGCTCCTTTTGGATGAAATAAGCTGTAGAGTGCTCTTGCTGTGGGCACCTATCCACAGGGCTGTTGCTCACAGGTGTTGGCAGAAGTTTCTAGTTATTCCTTATTCCAGAGATACTGACCTCCCCCATTCCATAATTTGAAGCCTTCCTCTTTTCTCCTCCAGATGAGAGAGAGCCTGTGTTTATTCTTTACATTGCTTTTAGTCTCCTGCTTTAGAAACTGTGAAGTTTCACATGGAACTTTTTGTATTTATTGTTTTCTTTAAAAAATTCTTCCCTACAGTAATTATTTTCAGCTCTGCAGCCAGATATGAGACCTACCTCACTCAGAATTTGGACTTAATATGAGTGTTTGTTAAGTAATAAAATCCCATTTAGAGAGGAGAGATAGTGCTTAGGGCTCTTAATTGTTCTGACAGCTGACTGATTCACTGTCATTATTTATATGTTTATTTGCCTAACAAAGGGGTTGGGAGCTGGCAGCTCTGTGGGGTTGGGAAGTGCTCAGTGTAGAGCTACCAGAGGAGCTCTTGCTCTTTGGGATTTAGCTCATGGAATGTGCTGGCAAAGGACAGGGATGCCAAGATGTGCTTCATTTATGCAAATTGCTGACAGCAGCTCTGCTCTGGGTACCGTTTGTGCCTCCACTGAGCTCCTGTGCTGTCTCTTCCTGACAGGATGCAGAAGAGACCACCCCCCAAATCCCGGAGCAGGGCCCCTCCGATGAAGCGAAGAGAGTCCAAACCCAAGCCAAGGAAAACCCCCACCGCCCGCCGGGGCAAAGCAAAGCCCCCTCCCAAGGTTAAAACCCCTGCTAAGAAAGCCAAACCAGCAGCCCCAGCCATCAAGAAAGCCTCCAGTGGCAGCTCTTCCAAGAAACCAGCAGCCAGTGGGAGGAAGGAAGTGAAACCCTCTGCCAAGGGCAAATCCACCATGAGGAAATCTCTCCGGGCAAAAAAGTAAAATGTTTCCAATGTCAGGGAATCCCATGGTCAAATCCACAATCTTGTTTTATAAGTCAACGTGCATTTGTATTTTAGTTCTGATGCTTAAACACTTCTTTAATTTTTTTTAATTTTTTTTCTTGAATGATGGGGAAAAGCTGAAAACTAAATCAAACCAACCCGAGCATTCATTAGATCTCGATGCTGTGCCTCGTGCCTGCCCCTCCCCTGGAACGAGTCATCTTTACTTTCTGCAATAATTTTAGGACTTTTCTAGGACGTCTCTAATCTGTACATTTATGGTATTCCACGTGGGTTTCGGGGGGGAAGGGTTGGCTTTTAAAACAATTCTTCAGAGAAGATCTTTATACCTTTAGACAGCAGGAACAGGATGATCAGGGGAATGTGATTCTTTACTGAGAAGGCGCCGTGGCAGAGGAGTCTTCCCTAGATCCCTGCATGCCGAGGTCCTTGGCGCTCCCCTGAGGGAGCTGTGTACAGACAGCACTTGCACTGAGCCCCGAGGTGCTGCTCTCCTCAGCCACAGGCCCAGGGCTGGCTGCTGAGTCACATCCTTGGTGTCTCCTGAGGGTCTGGTGCCAGAGGGGCTCCAAAAGGGGCAGCTCTCGGTTAGGCGGGTGATTTGAATTAGTGTTTCCACACCACATCTGTTACCTTAAAACCAAAATATATCAAAGTCTTCTTGAATCCAACTTTCAAATGTTTTTAAGAGATGAAAAGCCTGAGTTTGTCACCTCTTGTTTACCCTTTTTTAAAGAGAAGTTGGAGAGCTATACAATTGCTAATGTAGAGATGTTGATACGTGAAGAACATGCGGTTTGCTAAAATAAAATGAAACTAGATTCCAGGCCTGCCTTGTGTCCATTCTCTCCTCATCCCAGCTTCTCCTCCTGGAAAGGTAGAGAGGAGGGAATACAGTCACCACAGATTGCTGCAGAGGCAGATCTTTGTTCAAAGCCAGCATGGTTTAGCCTGAGCCACTGCCAAGCTCTGTAGTTGGACCAATTCCTGACCTTTTTCTTCCCTGGTTTCTCTGGAGACAAAGGTGAGTGAGGAAAAAAGCTCTGTTGAAATCTCTTGCTGGTCCTCTTCTCCCCTTGTCAGTGATCAGTGAGGACAAAAGTCCCAGCTGAAACCTCCTCCCCTGGCCCTGCTCCACAGAGCAGCACCTGCATTCAGAGCTCACCACCTCCCTGCTCTGCCGTGCCCAGGGCAGCGATGCCAGTGGGACCTGACAGTCTCCAACGTGCTGCTGCGAAGAGCTGTGAGGAGGGGAGTTACACAGAAAGGGAGGAAACAGCTTCATTGAATTTCTTCTTTTCAGCTGCTGTCTCAGTGTGCTACCTCTGACTGGGAGTTTAAAAATTCCTGTAGAAATGGCCTAAATTGTTCCCAACACTGTAAGAAGGGTACAAACAGCAGGTTAGAAATCACAGCTGCTGGGAAACAAAGTGAAAGCTCTGGTCAAAGAATGATCCACAGGGATGTAAAGCAATTAGAAACATTAGTTAATGGCTTGTTCCTGGGGCTGCTTGTACCGAAGCTGTGGGGTTTGTTGGCGTTGTGGTGAGATGAATTGGAGAAACTTCTCAGTGCTGGCATATTTATGGGGACAAGGAGTCTTCACCCAGGTGCTGGGCATTTTCCAACCTCCCTCCTCCCAATGGCATCCCCATACCAACGATCCCATGAGTATTTGTTAAAACACTGCTCTGGATGACATGGATTTCTCACATCCAAGCAGGAGCACCTTGAATTAAGAGTTGTGCCAAAACCTTGGTCATTGCCAGACTCTGGCTGTGGTTTGACTTAAGTGATTTCTGCACACCAAACCAAAAAAAAGTCTCAGGGTTGGTTGTATTTAATCCAAAGAAGTGGTCCAGGAGCAGTGGCTGGGATTGAATGGGAAAGTCTTCACTGCCAGCAGAGCAAACGCCGTCTGGGGGGATTGTGCCGGCTCTGCCCCTCGCTCTTCCCCAGTCTCTGCTTCCTGGCCAGACTGGGCTCTGTTATGTTGTTTCTTCAGCCCCATCTGTCCCTTTTTTTTCCTTTTTTTCCACGGTTTCTCCACTATCGGTGATGGGGTGGCTCTGCCTTGAAGCAGCTGGTGCTGGCAGTGACCCAAGGGTTGAATGTGCCAGTCAGACCCTTTCCCTCACACCCTCAGGATTGCTGGGGCACGAGGGATTTTGGATGCAGCGCCGAGGGTCAGACCCCTCCCCAAACTGCTGCTTTCCCATTCCGGGAGCCAACTGGTCCCTGGGACTGGGGTCAGCTTCCTTTGGCTGGCACAGAGGGTGTGGGGGGGCTCTGGGTTACGTGGTTGTTCTGCAGTGAGGCCAGAGCCACCCCTCTTCATTTTTATTCCAGCAAAAGCAGGCAGCAGTGGGCAAAACTCCACAGGGAATGTAGAAATTGGGATGAAAAGGGTCTGAGCATCAGGGCAGGGGGTGGCGGGCGAGCAACCACGTGTGTACGTGTCAGGGTTAGAAATCGCTGCTCCGCTGGGCACGCCGGAGGAGACGGCAAAAGACGCAGAGAAAATCAGTTGCCGCCGCGTTTTCCAAAATCCCGAGCGAGCGTTCCTGCTCGCCGTCGCTTCCAAGAAACGGAGAGAACCGAGGAGGAAAATTGCGGTGATTCATCGCGGGCAGATCGGAGGCAGGAAATGAGAGTTTGCTGCCTGCCCCGTGCCCGGCGTGGGCTCCGTGGGCTCGGGCTCGCCGGGGCCTGGCTGGCGGCGAGGGCCTGACACCCACGGGTCGAGCATCGCTGCGCCGCGGCCGGAGCTGCCGGAGGAGCCACCGGCGAGGGAAAAACAACCGGCGGAGGCCGAGAGCCGGAGCAGCGGGAATTTTTCACCTGCGTTTCTCCGGAGCCATCCAAGCGAGAGCTGCCGTGAGCCGGGGGGGTCCAGCGGGATGGGGCTCCCAGGAGATGCTCGGTGCCTGGTGTCACACATCACCTAAATTTGGGGGGGGTCAGCATCCCTCCTTGGGGACCCCGGAGTGGTCGGTGGGCTGGGGGGTCCATTGAGAAATGAAGCGTGGGAAAAGGGGGGCGGGGCTTGGGGGCTGCCTGTCCGCGGATTGGCTGGGGGAGGGGGGAGACCCCCAAATTGTGCCGGGAAGGAGAGGGGCCAAGCTGCGCTTGTGACGGGGAGACGGCACCGCGGGGACCCCCCCCACACCGCCAGGATGCGCCCGGGGCAGCCGGACCCCCTCCCCCCCCTCGCGTTTGCGGCAGGCGGCTGCGGCGGGGCCTCGGTGACACGAGCGGCGCCGGTCCCAGCCCGGCCGGGGGCTGCGCAGCACGGACCCCCTCTGGGTGGCCGGAGAAGGGTCCGGCGCACTCCTCCATGGCTGCTCTGGACCGAAAAGCACCCCCAAGTCTGCTGCCCTCATCTCTGTGTTTGGGGATCGCCCCGGGAGAGCCTCGGGGGTCTCGGTGCTGCTGCGTGGCCGGCGGGAAGTGGGATGAAGGATGGGAGGGGGAGGATGTGGGGGGACCCCAAAACCTTGCTGGAGTTCGGGATGCAAGACTGCATGCACCTCACTTGGGGTCCAGAGTGTATGTTGGGCATGCAGGGACTGCTTGGGTTTCTTTGGGGATGGAATGTGGGCACTGCATCCACCAGCAGGGACTGCTTGGGTTTCTTTGGGGATGGAATGTGGGCACTGCATCCATCAACTTTGGGGTGGAGATTTGGGGAACCTCACATGCCCCTCGGGATCAGGACGTGGGGGACTGCCTGCATGCTGCTTGGAGTGGGGACATGGGAGCCTGGACTGGACCTCAGGAGCAGAAGATGGGGACCCTCACATCACCTGTGCAGTCAGGGGGCTGGAACTCTTGTGTTGGGGTTGGGACCATTATACTGGGGCCAGGACCTGGGGACAACTGCACTGGGACTTGGGGACATCTGCATTGGCGTCAGGACTTGGGGAGCTCCACACGGGGACCGCAGCGCCTCCCCAGGGCTCAGCGGGCTGGAAACAGGGGACAGTGGGGGCAGGTTGTGTCTGTCCCCTCCTTCCTCGCAGGAACAGTGACTAGGGGCCGGACCCAGGCTCCCCGTGCTTGCTCCAGCCCCATCACCCTGGAGGGCTCTGGATAACTCAGATGTGGCATCAGAGCTGCTTGACCCCATCCTGATCTGGCCTTCACCCCGAATCCCGCTGCCATGAAGAGGAAGCCGGGGAATGGGCGGGGGCCGGAGCCTGCGGCCCCCCAGCAGCGAGCCCGCTCTGTCACCAAGCCAGCAGAGGTGATTTACACATGGGGTGGTGGGGGGCGACACCCCGAGATGAGATTTGGGTGCTGTTGCACCCTCATGACTCCCCAAACCATCATCTCAGCGGGGGTCAGTTGCCCAGGGGGTGCATCGTGGGGGCTGGAGCTGACCCGGGTGGGGTCCTTGTCCCCCCAGTACGTGGGATCCTTCATGGTGGAGGAGCTGGACCTGCAGCAGCGAGCGGGGCGGGTGGAGGAGCAGCTGCGGGCACTGAAGGTCGGGATCCACCACTGCTCCCTGCCCTGGGAAACACAGGAGACCCCAAATAATCGGGGCACCCCCAGGGGCACAGCCCAGCCCCCAGTGCCACATCTCTCCCCGACAGGACTGTCCCCGGAGGAGGTCGGTGGTGCTGAGGTTCAGCTTGCAGGGCCTGAAGGTCTTCGGTGCTGATGGGGAGGTAGGGGGCTGTGGGGTCAATGGGGGTGGGCAAGGGGTGCTGGGGCTCCGAGGGGCTGAGTAGGGGTGTCAGGGGGTGTTGGGAGGGTCAGGGGTGCTGGGGAAAAAAGTGTTTTCCTTTAATTCTACTTTGATCAGCAGTCAGGGTTGGTGGGGTTGGAAGGTCACGGGTGCTGGGGAGGGGGGTCAGGAATGAGGGGAGGAGGGGTCAGAGGTGCTGAGGGGGTCAGGGATGCTGGGGAGGTCTCACTGTTCTGCCGGAAAGATGCTGGGAGGGGCTGTACCTCTCTGAGCGCTGCTTTTCTCTCGAGAAGCTGGTTTGTGTGTGCAAGCAGGGATGCCCCTGGGGCGGGCCCGGGGGTGCTGGGTGCCCCTGACCCCCGCCCCGTCCCGCAGACGCTGCTGATGGCACACGCGCTGCGCCGCATCCTGTACAGCACCTGGAGGCTCCCCGACCGCCAGTTCGCCTTCGTGGCCCGCAACCCCCACAGCCCCCCCAGCACCCTCTTCTGCCACCTCTTCGTGGGGCTCCCGGGAGAGGTGGTGGCCCAACCCCGCCCCCAAAACACCTTCGTTCTTATTATTTTTAATATTTGCACTGAGCGTCTTTCGCCTCCCCCAGGTCCAGACCCTGCACCTCCTGCTCTGCCGCTCCTTCCAGCTCTGCTACCTCCTGGCACACCCCGAGGAGCAGGCGGGCGAGGGGGAGCTCCCGGGGCCGGGGGTGCTGCGGGAGCCCCTCAACCCCGAGGAGGTGTCACGAAATGTCAACGCCCTCGTGTCCTTCCGGCGCCTGCCCGCGCCCGGCGGCCTCGGCCCGCTGGGCACCGGGGTAGGTGCCCCTGCCCTGCCCGGCCCGGCCCTGCCCTGCCCGGCTGCTGCTCACACCCGGGGTTTTCACGCCCGGCATTCTCACACCTGGGGCTCTCACACCTGGGGCTCTCACACCCGGGATTCTCACACCTGGGGCTCTCACACCTGGGGCTCTCACACCTGGGGCTCTCACACCTGGGATTCTCACACCCAGGGCTCTCACACCTGGGGCTCTCTCACGGTGTTTCCTGGCTCGGCGCTCTCGAGTGCTTTGGCACAGCCTGTTTGTGCACGGGGTCTCGTAGGGCTTTTCCCCCACACGGCGTTTCCAGAACATTCTGGGCTGGAAAGGACCCACAGGGATGATCAGGTCCAGCTCCTGGCACAGGACAGCCCAGTTTCTCTCACAGCAGTCTGTATACGGTGCTTTAGCGCAGGGATTTTGCACAGCGTGTCCCCAGGCAGCCCTTGTGCCACCTTTTCTCACATTCTGAGCAGCACGCTGTCACTGCACACATCATTACCTGGTGTCTTGCACGGTTTCCTTGCATTCCCTCTTTGTGCAGCCTTTCCTTGCACAGCGGTGCATGTGCATTGTTGTGCACAACCTCTCCTTGCGAGGGTCGCAGTTCGCAGGGCCCATCCTGCACGGCCCCGCTGCTCTGCTCAGCCTGCTTGAAGCAGCCTTTCCCTGAGGGCCCTTCCTGCCACCGGCCACTTTGCACAGCTATTCCTTGCACAGCGATTCTGCAGGAGGTTTTACAGCGCATTTTTTCCTTGGCGTTTTGCACAGCACTTTCTCTCCACGATATGTGTTTGTAGAACTTTTTTTACACAGCATTATTTCTCATAATTTTTTTACATGGCACTTTTTTCACGGGTGGTTTGCATGGCTGTTTTGGCATGGCATTTCTTGCAGAAATGTCTACACAGTAAAAACGCTCTTCACAGCTCTTTTGGCACTGTATTTTTACATGGCACTTTTTTCACGGTGGTTTGCATGGTTGTTTTGGTATGGCATTTCTTGCAGAAATATCTACACAGTAAAAATGCTCTTCACAGCTCCTTTGGCACTGTGGTTTTGCACAGCATGGTGATTTTTTGCATGGCATTGTTCCACAGTGTTCTGCATGGCATTTCTTCTGCACATCATGTTTTGCACTGCGTTTTCCCCACAGTGTTTTGCGTGACTTTTTTTGGGGTTTTTTTTTGTTTTTTTGGGTTTTTTTTGGTGGTGTTTTGCACAGCTTTTCTGGTGTTGCATCCTTTGGGCAGCGTTTTCCCGCGTGGTGTTTCGCCTGACTTTCCCCACGGCCAGAGCCCCCGGGCCACTCTCACAGCCTGTCCGTCCCCAGGACCGGCGGCAGGAGGCGGAGGGCAGAGCCTGGCGCCCGGGGAACCCCTACTGCTCGCCGGTGCTGGTGCGCAAGAAAGCCATCCGGAGCAAAGTGCTGCGCTCGGGAGCCTACCGGGACTGCGGGGGCGAGGGACAGCTCCACCAGCAGCCCCGCGACGCCGGTGAGTGCCGGGGGGAAACTGAGGCACGGGGACACACGGTGCCACGAGTGTTTGGGGGCGAAGAGGGGATTAACGGGCTCCCGCAGCGGCGGCGGGAGGCGAAAGCAAAGGGGCGAGGAGCTTGGCCTTCCTGCCCGACAACGAGAGCGTCCTCGCCGAGAGCGTGTGGTCCTTCGCCGGCATCGCCAGGTGAGCGCCTGTGTGCGAGCACCTGATCCTCGGTACGCACAGCCCGGCCTAGCCCCGGGCTCTGCCCATCCCCGGTCCTGCCCAGCCCCGGACCCTACAACATCCCCAGCCCTGCCCCAGCCCCTGCTCCATCCCGGGCTCTGCCCATCCCCAGTCCTGCCCATCCCCAGCCCTGCCCCACCCCGGTCCCTGCTCCATCCCCGGCTCTGCCCAGCCCCGGACCCTACCACATCCCCAGCCCTGCTCCACCTGGGTCCTGCTCCATCCCCGGCCCTGCCCCACCCCGGTCCCTGCTCCATCCCCGGCCCTGCCCCACCCCGGACCCTACCACATCCCCAGTCCTGCTCCATCCCCGGCCCTGCCCCACGGCCGCCTCGCCCCCAGGGCCGCCGGGGTCGCGCTGCTGCGGCGGGACGTGCCCGGCTCCTTCCTGCTGCGCGCCGAGCCCGGGCTGCCCAAGCGCTGGTGCCTGTGGGTGCGGGCGCCCTGCGGCGTGGTGTGCTACGGCGTGCTGCGGACACAGCAGGGCAGGTTCTGCGTGGAGGTGAGCCCGGCTGCGCGGGGGACGCGCATCGGGTGCGGCTGCGGCCGTGCAGGCGGTCCGGTCCGTCTGTGCGCCCCTGCGCCGCGCCCCGGTGCGTTTGGTGCGCCCAGGCACGGACGCACCGGAGTGCACACCGTTTAGCTGGTGCTCTGTGTGTGTTTGGAGCACCCACGCACGGGCTGTAAGTGCATTTGTGCCTCGGTGTGCCGGTGTGTTGGTGCACCAGGACAGGGATGCGCTGCTGTGTGGATGTGTTTAATGCACGCTGTAAGTGCACTTGCTGTGCGTGTGCGTGGCTGCGCTGGTGCCTCGGTGCAGGTGTGGCTGCACACAGGGGTGTGGGTGCGTGGGTTCATTGATCCACGGGCACCTTGGGGCACAGAGCTGCATCTGGGCACGGCACACAGGTACCCCTGGGCGTGGGGGCACCGGGGCATCCACCCTTGGGTGTGTAACACGCCTGAGTTTTGGGTGCACTAATGCCCAGGTATGTGATGCACGAGTGCCCTGGTGTGTGTGTGGTCCCCCGGCCAGGCCAGGGTGCTTTGGTCTGTGGGTGTATCTGGGCGTACCTGGCACACACAGCACCCCAGTACCCACGCAGGGCATGCACGGCTGTGCTGCACTCGCCCTCACCTGTGCCTGGTGCGTGGGTGCCTTGGCTGCGTGGGTGCCTGCCGCAGAGCCCAGGGTGTGTGAGGTGCGTGGGCGTGCTGGCACACGGCCACGCCGGGGTGTGGGGCACACTCAGTTCAGGGTGTGCGGGGGGCACAGCCCGCGCGGGGGGCTCACCTCTCCCTCTCCCCTCTCTCCCGACGGCAGCACTCCAACGCCGAGTTCGCCAGCGTGGCCGCTCTCCTGGCGCACTACTCCGGGCCACCGGGGGGCTGCTTCTGCCGCCTGGGCCCCGGCCGACGCAACCCCGGCTACGAGGAGCGGGACCCCGGCGGCGGGGCCGGTGCCGGGCCGGGGGAGGCCGCCTGGGCCCCCGCCGCCCCCACCGGGGTGCAGCACGAGCGGGGTTAGCCCGGACCCCCGCGCACGGCTGTCCCCGGCTCCCCCGGCTTTCACTCGCTGCCTGCCTTACCCCCCTGGCCGGGCCGGCCGCGCCCCCCGCAATAAAGGCTCTCGTGCTTCGGAGCGGGGCTCGGCTGGCTGCTCACACCGCCACGGCGGGACGCGCCGCACGCCGGTGTGCTCACACCCGTGTGCTCACCCCTGTGTGCTCACACCCGTGTGCTCACACCTGTGTGCTCACACCCGTGTGCTCACACCTGCACGCTCACCCGAGTGCTCACACCCATGTGCTCACACCTGCACGCTCACCCGAGTGCTCACACCCATGTGCTCACACCCGAGTGCTCACACCCATGTGCTCACCCTGCACGCTCACCCGAGTGCTCACACCCATGTGCTCACACCCATGTGCCCACCCCTGTGTGCTCACACCCATGTGCTCACACCCATGCTCACACCCGTGTGCTCACACGTGCAGCCCTCCGGCCCAGGCACCCCACAAACTCGCACTCACACGACTGCACTGCGCGTTCGGGCTCCCGCTCCTGCACGCTGCCGCACTGCTGCGGTGCTGCACGGGTGCTCACGGGAGGTTGCACACCCACGTGTCGCCTCACCCTCACCTGCACACGCAGGGGCCACAGCTGGGCACCGGCGCCGTCGTACGCTCACAGCCCTGTGCACACGCACAGTCTGTGTCTTCGTGCACACTCCATTGCACACCTGTCCTCATGCACACCTGTCCTCGTGCACAGCCTCCCTGCACACCTGTCCTCGTGCACACCCCTCATTGCACACCTATCCTCGTGCGCGCCCCCTGCACACGTGCCCGCGCGCCCCCGCCCTTGCGCGCCCCGGCAGTCACGTGACGCGGTGGGTGGGGCCGATCTCCCGGTGCGGCCCCGGTCGCTGTGGCGACCGCGTGGGATCACTCGCGCATGCGCGGGACCGCCTCCCGCCGCCTCAGCGCCGCTGTGCCCTCGGGGTCGGTGCGCGCCTCCGGCCAGCGCGGCACCGGCGGCGTCACCTCAGGTCTTCCCTTTCTCCGTCCCCTTTGGACGTGTCTCGGCTCCCAAAAGTTACCTCAGAGTTTCTTACCCTTGGGTTTCCCGCCCTTCAGCTTCCCCTCAGGTTTGTCTCACAAACCCTTCCCCCTTCAGGTTTCTTCCCCCCGACCTGCCCTAGATCCCCCTCAGACCTGTTCCTAGCTTCTCCCTTTCCCTGCGTCCCTCCCCAGCTCTTTTTCTCCATACTTTCCCCTTTTCCCCCAGCCTCCCTCGCTCGGGGCTCCTTTCCCTGCGTGCCCCCAGTGAGGGGTAAGTGCTTCCCTCGCACAGGGGGTGCAGATGCCCAGGGTTAGGCTTGCCCCAGCCTCTTCCCAGCCCCCGGTGCCCCCCAGTCCCGCCGGCTGAGCTGTGGGGCTGGTCTGGATGGGTGGGGTGACCTGTGGGGGGAGTCTGACCCGAGTGTGTGGGGCTGACTGGGTGTGTGTGGGGTGACCCCAGTGTGTGTCACTGACCCCGGTGTGTGGGGCTGACCCTGATGTGTGTGACTGACCTGGTGTGTCTGTGGAGCTGACCCCAGTGTCTATCACTGACCCCGGTGTGTGGGGTGACCCCAGTGTGTGTCACTGACCCCGGTGTGTGGGGCTGACCCCGGTGTGTGGGGCTGACCCCGATGTGTCTGTGGTGCTGACCCCAGTGTGTGTCACTGACCCCAGTGTGTGGGGCTGACCCCCATGTGTGGTGCTGACCCCAGTGTCTGTCACTGACCCCGGTGTGTGGAGCTGACCCCAGTGTCTGTCACTGACCCCCATGTGTGGAGCTGACTGTGTGTGTGTGGGGCTGCCCGCCGTGTCCGTCACTGCCCCCGTGTCCATCACTGACCCCTGTGAGGTGGCCGGGGCGATGGCCGCGGAGGCGGTGAAGGTGGCCGTGCGCTGCCGGCCGCTGAGCGGGCGTGGGGCGGCCCTGGGGCTCCGGGCCATCGTCGGCGTGGACAGCGCGGGGCCGGTGCCTGGTGCGGAACCCCGCGGAGCCCCCCCGGCCGTTCTCCTTCGACGGGGCGTTCGGCGGGCAGCGCAGCACCGAGCACATCTACAACGAGATCGCCCCCCCGCTGGTGGAGGTCAGTGGGCACCCGGGGCAGCGGCAGTTTTGGGCACCACAATGAAAGGAGCTCCAGGAACGTTTGGACAATGCTCTCAGGCACTGGGTGGGATTGTTGGGGTGTCAGTGCAGGGCCAGGAGTTGGACTCTGATCCTTGTGGGACCATTGCAGCTGAGAATATTCTGTGAATACATAGGTTGGGACAGGGGCTGAAGGGTTTTACAGGTGATCCCTAAGTGAAGCAGGATGCACTTGACCTTCCTCATGCTGGAAGATGTTCCTGCCCATGGAAGAGTGGTGGAACAAGATGAACTTTAAGGTCCCTCCCAACCCAAACCATTTGGGATTCTCTGATTTGTGGGCAGAAAGCCCTGTCCACTGCTTCAAGAGATTTAGCTACAAGCCTGGGAGGCAGAGGAGAGCAGACAGTGTCCCAGCAACAGTCTGGGAAGTTGGGAAGAAACAAAACTTTGTTAGCAGCCAGCAGGGCACCAAGGAGAGAGTTACACTGAATTGTTTTAGGTGGGTGTTTATATCATAGAATCCCAGACAGCTCTGGGTGGAAAGAGACCCTAAAACCCATCCCATTCCACCCCCTGCCATGGCAGGGACACCTTCCACTGTCCCAGGCTGCTCCAAGCCCTGTCCAGCCTGGCCTTGGACGCTGCCAGGGATCCAGGGGCAGCCACAGCTGCTGTGGTATCAAACTGATGATTTCAGGGAGATTTTTACTGTCAAGTGAGAAACCTTAGAGAAGATGGGGAACCTCAGCCTGGATTAGACTGGCAAAAGGATAAGGGATCCCTTTGTTTCCTTGTTAGCAGATCAGCACAGGAAACAGCTGAGGTGAGAAATGAACCTGTTGAGCAAAAAAAGACCAACCTCCCCCCCAAAAAAAGTTTTGTTAGAAGAAGTAACATGGATTAAATGGCTCGTGACAGTTTTCAGATGGAAGTTTCTAAACATGAGAACAAGCAGGGCTAGAAACAGTAGATATTAAAATAATAGGTTATTTTTTTCTTATTTAAACCTTAAGAAATCCAGTTATTTTTTCTTCCTACCATACTTCTCTGAAACAGGGACAAGTGACAGTGAGCAGCTTGCCAAGCAAAAATTATTCAAAGCTAGAGACCATCCCAATGGCCACCCCACAACCAACTATTGTTCTAGTTGTCTCTGAATCTCATAAGATTTTGTGCTTATGGCAAAAATATTATAGTTTGCTAAATGTTTGTGTTGTCAACTGCTTTTCAACACCTGCACTGCTTCAAGATTCCTTGTTTTGAGAGAAAAACATTGATTTATATGCTAATTTTGTAATTGCTATACTCTGATGGTGTGTGGAGATTAAGCAGCCATTTGATGTTTACTTCCAGCTCTTCCTTTAAAACACCTTTTGGGGGGGTGGGAATGAATCTGGATGATGTATTTCCAGTTAGGCAAAGAAGATTTCTGTTTTCTCTGGGTTTCTCCCATTTCCAGGGTGTCATGGAAGGCTGCAATGGCACCATCTTTGCCTAGGGCCAGACTGGCAGTGGGAAGTCCTTCACCATGCAGGGAGTTGCAGATCCTTCCTCACAGAAAGGGATCATTCCCAGGGCATTTGAACACATCTTTGAGCCTGTACAGGTGGGTGTGAAAGAGGTCCTGTTGGCAAGGTTTTGCTAGACTTTGGTGTCCTGTGCCAAGAAGTGAGTGCTGGTGGCATGAAGTGTGAACGGGGGCAGGTTTGGGGTGCACTGCTCCTCATGCTGAAGCTGAGGCCTGTGTGTGGTCAGATGAAGTGCACCCTCATGCCAGATGGCATTGTGAGCTGGAGGTGTGCAAGGACCAGAAGGCCCTGCAGGGTGTGTTGAGTGGTTCTACCTGGAGTGAATGGCCCGGGGAGGTTGGATGAGGTGCTGAAGGGTGGTGGGCACCCAGCTGTGGGTGCCTGTGCTGTGCAGCCTCACCCCCAGTCCTCCCTGTGCTCTGCAGTGTGCTGAAAACACCAAGTTCCTGCTGAGAGCCTCCTACCTGGAGATCCACAATGAGGACATACGAGACCTTCTAGCAGCTGACACCAAGCAGCAGCTGGAGGTGAGGCAGGCTCAATGTGTCTTAATTAAGTGCTTTAATTAGCTCAGATGGGTGTTACCATGACTTACAGGAGTGCAGTAAAGGTCTCTGTCAGAAGCTTGAGTGCCAGAATATGAAGTTACATGCGGAATATGGACGCTAAGAGGGACTTTAGTGAAAGTTTAGGAACAGGATGCAGTTGGAGACATGTCCAGTGTATCCCACATGATAGTGGCTGGTAGCTCAGCAGCAGCTCTGTGAAAATCCTTCACTGGGCAAGGGTGGAATAAAGTGCTCATGGGGCAGTTTCTTCCTCATCCTCTTCATCTCATGCTTGTCTCTAAAGCAAGAGGATTCTTGGCCTTATAAATGTTTAATCTGATCTAGTGGAGCCACAGATGATCTCTTTATCTGCCTAAACCAAAAAGGCTGATCCTTTTTGAGGACACACAGCAGATATTACTCCCCATGGGAACACATGTGACATTTACAGGACCATAGGAGGATAAACTCTCCCAGAATCCTAATCAGGGGGCTGATCTTTATAAAATTTACCTCCTGGTGGCTTTGCAGATCCTTTTGTATGCATTCCTGGAGGGATCTAGAAATCTGTCCCAATTTACTTCCTTGCAGGACTGCCTGTATAAAACCAAGGCAGTAGCACCTTGCAACACTCTGGAATGGCAACAGACCCAAACTGCCTTACAGGGCAGGCATTTCTAAGAGGTTTCTGGCTTTAAGGCAGGCAAACCCCTCTCTGCTCCATGTTCCAAGCGTGCTTTGCCTGTCTCCTGCAGAGGGAGAGTGGGAGAAGGGGACTTCTCGCTGCAGTTTCCCTTCCTTTGTTCCACATCGGCGGTGACACGGGTTTCCATGGCGACGCGGTTGGCACTGGGAGGGCAGGAGCTGGGCACAGCAGTTTCCAGGGTAACTCTGTCACGCTGCCTGTTGCTGCCTGCACTGAGTACTTGAGGGAGTGTGTCCTGCCGAAACAAATCCCGGGCTGCCCCACTGCACGTCTCTGAGTCCCCACTTCCCCCAGAATCCCAGTTTTGTTCATTCCTTTGCCTACAGCCGTGTCCTTGGTCAGGTGTTCCTCAGGGACTCTGCAACACCCCCAGACAGAGCCAGGCCAGTCCTGGGGTTCTCAGCAGCACCGACCAGTCACAGTGTATGAACACTGCCTGTGACTGTACCTGGATTCATCCCGGGCCTCTTGGCTTTGGAACGAGGATAAATCCCACCCAGTTAAGTGTTCAGCCACTTTTGCTCTGTTCTGTGGGATTTTTTTAACAGCAAACGCTGTTTTACATCATTTCTTGTGAACATCACTGAGGTATCTGAGCCTCCTCTTTGGAACTCACAGTGCCAAATGTGGTTTCTGTTCCTCCATCATGACAACCGTATCTCGATATCCCAGCTGACATGATAAAGATAGTTTTGGTGATGAACTTAGCAGATGTGGGGTGTAACAGAGCTGTGGAAAATTAATTTAGCTCATTTAAAATTCCCAGTGTGGAGGGGGCTGGTGTAGGAGTGCAGGAATCTCTGGATTATTTTGTATTTTTATGTAGGTTTGATGGGTAACTCAAAATTTTGGATATTTCCATTGCTTATTAACATTCTGTATGAAACTTTTCATCTGTGCAATTGATAATTACTGAGAACATGCTGTTGGGTATTTAATGTTCTGTCTCAACTTAGGGTCCCAAATAGGATTTTTGTTCATTTAAGAATTAATTAATGTGGAGAGAAATGGTGACAGTTCACCTGTGTGTGATGAGTGGTACTTTGGGAATGTTGTCAGTGAGCTCAAGCCACCCACTCAGAGCAGAGAGTTCAGCAAAGCACCGGGAACAATATCTGGGAATATTGTTTCTGTGCTTTGATATTAAAAAAAGCTTCCTATGGCTGAGGAGATCTTACAGCCTTTGCCATAATAGGTGAGATGTATTTTGATTCTTGTTTAAAATATGCAGCTTAATAATAGAGAAGGTAGAGGGTGGATAGAAGCCGGGTTCCTCATGGCCTGGGGGATGTCTGAATCAATCAGCAACTTTTAACTTGAATTCTCTGAGCCATGAAGGTTGTTCCCTCTTTTTCTGTGGTTTTAGTCCTCCTTCAGAAATAAGGCTTTTTGGTGGCAGTCAGATGTGTTTTTCTCATACTGCAGTTTAATTTCAGTTAGCTCTAGGGCCATTCCCAGTGTAATTTGCCCTGGTTTCAGTGCCCCTTGCTGTGAGCTGGCTTGCATTGTCCTGTTGGCAGCTGAAGGAGTGCCCGGAGCAGGGGGTGCACGTGCAGGGGCTGTCCCTGCACAGCGTGGCCCAGTGTGAGCAGCTGATGGACCAGGCTGCAGGAACAGAGCAGTGGCCTTCACCCTCATGAACAAGGGCTCCTCCTGCTCCCACTCCATCCTCACTGTCTGCATGGAACTCTGCGCCCTCGGTGCGTACCTGGAGCCCTGGGCCTGGGCCTGGCAGGGCACGGGGTCTGTGTGGCCATCATCATCCCACAGCTACCCCTTAGATCCCAAATGATGGTAGGTGCAGCAGAAAAATCCTCTTCCCTGGGAGGGTGGGCAGGCCCTGGCACAGGGTGCCCAGAGCAGCTGTGGCTGCCCCTGGATCCCTGGCAGTGTCCCAGGCCAGACTGGACAGGGCTTGGAGCTGCCTTGGACAGTGGAAGGTGTCCCTGCCCATGGCAGGGGGTGGAATGAGATGAGTGTTAGGGTCCCTCCCAAATGAAACCATTCAGGTCATATCACCTAATAATTCCTTCATTGAGCTTAATCATAGGGCTTATTTTTTAAAGATGGAATTAAAGAATCCTTTAATAAAGTTTTAGTGACTAATTTTCCTTTCATGAGTATCTCACTGGCATTTCTTTAGTTGGAAGAACTGCCTCTCTGAGTCTGAGCAAGGACCCTGAAGAGGGTTTTTCTGGGAGCAGAAAGGAATTAATCTCTGTCTTGTCTTTGACCCCAGCTGGGAACAGCTTGGCTTCATTTTCTTCAGCTGTTTCAGTTACACAATGTCTTTCAATATTGTGGTTCCAATATTGAAATGTTGGTGACAGTACCTCATTTTCCACTCAGTAAGTGAGGAATTTGGGTTGTTTCTCAATTAGCACAGATGCTGAATGCATTGTGTGGGTCTGTAAAATCCCAACTTTACCCCAACAGGTAAGAAGTGTTTGCACTCCTCTTCTGTGCTCAAGATTGGCAGGGCCCTCAAGCTAGCCTGAATTTCTCTGATTTAAAGCTTTGAAAACATGACATGGAATGGGATGGCAGGTGGGGAACCTGCAGCTTTGGCAGTTAAAAATAGATGGAATATTTGAGGAGAAAGTTCAGGGCAATGGCAAATCCCCATAAACTGAGTGGTTCTGCTGGGGTGAGCGTTGGCTGACAGAGTTGAGGAAGTTGGTATTTCTGTGGTCATCTTTAGGCTTTATAAAGAGTTCAAACTTCTTTTCCAGGTGAGCCTGTAGTAAATAATAATTTATGGGGAGTTGATATTTTAAAGACACTAAAATTACTTTTTTTAAAGTAACATGCTCAGGAATTATGAAAAATACTGGGCTCTTGGCTGCAGGTGTTTGAAACATGCAAGTTCCCATCACTATTTTTATTTAGATTTTTACACTTAAAAAAATTATTTTATTTTTTATGCTTATTTATTTTTACAATTTTTTTTTTTTTTTTAGATTAGCAGATGTTTCATTCCTTTATGTTGTGTGCTTCTGCCATCAGCCCAGGCCAATGGGCTGACAGGGAACCAGACAGGGAAGATCTTTAGGCTGCTGCAGACATTTTAGTAAGAGCCTGGGGACCTTCTCACACCATGGGAAGTAAACCATGAGCTCTGAGCTGAAAACAGCCTTGGTGGGTAAAAGGACTGGCAGGAACCAAAACAGCCTTTTGATTGCCTGGCAGCATTTACATGAACCAAGGGAAGAAGTGACAGGTTTAGGAAACCTACTTTTTGTGGCTGCCCACCCAGCCCAGCACTCAGAAAGGATGAGGAGAGGGTGCTCTGTTTAAGCCCCATGTGTTTTTACCCTGTTCTCCCATGTCTTGACACATGAGAATGAGCTGGAGTGAAACAAGTTTGCTCAGCAGCAAACATTAAACTCCACAGTTACCAATCTGTTGTTGTAACAGAAATATCCTAGCACAACAGATTTTAGAGATTTTGGTGTTTACCTGTGAGCTTTCCGCTTTCCCTCATGCATCAGATTGTTCATTGCTCATGTTTAGGTATTGTCCAGAGCTGTAAAACAGAACTCTGACTCCTTTCAAGGCCAGGATTTGTGGAAGTCTGCCTTGAAAAGGGTGGATTCCGTTAAAGTCTCAGTGCTTTCTATGCTTGGAATGCTAAAGGAGCTCTTCCCTTGAATTGGGGTTGCAATCTTACGGAGCATTTCAGATGTGGACATCCAAGAGTGTGGTCCAGCACTTAGGACAGCAGTTCCAGGAATGTGTGCCCAAGTCTTTGCTCTATGTGAGGCTGGGAAAGGTAAGGAGCCAGTGAAAGTGCAGGGCTCCTAAAGGAGCCAGATGCACTCTGTCTTCCTCACAGGGACCCTGTGCCATCACACTGTTCCAGCCTCAAATGCAGACCAGGAAGCAGGGATTCCCTGTGTAAGGTGTGTGTCCAGGCAGCTGGGCAGCCTCAGCTCAATCTGCTCCTGCCTTAAAGCGATGGCAATGGCACCAGCTCACTGCATTTGACTCCTCACCAGGATCCATTTCCTCATCTGGGGTTTGGGCCATGGGCAGGGACACCTTCCACTATCCCAGGCTGCTCCAAGCCCTGTCCAGCCTGGCCTTGGACACTTCCCAGGATCCAGGAGCAGCCACAACTTCTCTGGGTCAGGGCCTCTCCTCCCTCACAGGAAAGGATTTCCATATATCTCATCTAAATTTCCCCTCATGAAACAGACTGAGGAGGAAAAAAGTTGTATAAACTCATGGTCTGATCACGTTACTTGTAGAGCACTTTGGCTGAAACTGTAAATACTGTTGAAATATGTGGAGGGGTGGGTGTGTGTGTGTGTGTTCAGAGCTCACTGAGAGAGCAAGAACAGGCACAAATTTTCACTGTGGATCCTGTTGAGAAAAGCACTAAACTGTGCAGTGTTTAGATTAAGTAGATACTTACTTACTTCAGGGAGTCAGGGCCCAAGGCAGACCAAGAGCAGGGCTGGAAAGGACATGGTGCAAAGACAGTCCTGGTTCTTGACTGTTGAGATGCCTCCTCCTAAGAGCTGACTGGGAAATGTTCCTGTGCAGATGAGCGAGGGCAGGATCACCTCAGGGCTGCCAAACTCAACTTGGTGGATCTGGCAGGAAGTGAGAGACAGGCAAGGACTGGTGCTACAGGAGAGAGGCTCAAAGAGGCCACCAAAATCAGCCTTTCCCTGTCTGCCCTGGGCAACGTCATCTCGGCCCTGGTGGATGGCAGGTGCAGACACATTCCCTACCGAGACTCCAAGCTGACCAGGCTGCTCCAGGACTCCCTGGGGGGGAACAGCAGGACCCTGATGGTGGCACGCGTGTCCCCGGCTGATGACAGCTGCGAAGAAAGCCTCGGCACCTTGTGTTGCACCAGTCGAGCCAGGAACATCAGGAACAAGCCCTGCATCAGTGAGGACCCCAAGGACACCCTGCTGAGGGAGTACCAGGAGGAGATTAAGAAGCTGAAGGCCATTCTGGCTCAACAGATGGGCACGAGTGACTTGTCAGGTAGGAGAGCCTTTACTGGCTGCAGACGTGGGAAAAAAGGGAGTTTTATACATAAAATGTTGGCTAAATTTTCCTTCAACCTTTCCTTTACCTATTGGAGGAAGAGTTCTCCATTCTGGTAAGAAACTTTTCCTTCACTGCTGCCAAATTGACCTTATTCTACTAAGATGGCAAAGACCATCTCAATAGTCCAGTGTTTTCAACAGTGGCAAATTCTGTTAGAAAAAGCTGACATGATTCAAATCCTTGGTTATTTTTGGTGATTGTGGCTAGAATTTGGTCAGTTGCAGAAGAGAGGTTTCAGCTGGAAGAACAAAAATGAGCTGCAAAAGAAATAATGCTGTAAAGGTCTTTATTAACTATACATGTGTATGTTTTCAAAGTAAGTACCAGCCCCTTTTCTCCTACAATGTATATTTTTGACACTACAAGAGAAGTCTTGCCCTCTTTATGGCAGTGCCTGAGGACTCAGCCCAGCCTCAGAACACCTGCTCTGTCCTCTGGAGCAGGAATAGGAAATGTAGGAGCAAATGTAGGGACAAGCAGTCCATAGGGAGCTGATCACCTTTGGAGAATTAGCCCCTAAAAAGGGGTGTGGTATTCACATTCTCTGAACAGAGAGAGACACAATTCTCTCTCCCAGGATTTTTCTTGGGGAAGGCAGTGAGAAGTTCAGAGAAGAAGAGAAAACAATTCTTGTCTCTACTTGCTGCTCCTGTTGTTTGGCACATGTGGAATATGTTATGGAAATTGTTTACCAAAAGTGATTTGTTAATTGGACTCTGCTGATGGTTGTTTAGACTGATTGACCAATTGGAAAAAAGCCGTGTCGTGACTGTTGGAGACAGTCATGGGTTTTTCTTTAGTATCTCTTTAGTATAGTGTTAATATAGTATTAGTGTAATATAACACAGCTTAATAAAGCATTTGTTCAGCCTTCTGAAATCATGGAGTCAGAGCACTTTATTCCCTGGCTGGGGGCCACCTGCATCGATAAAAGGGCAACTTTCAGCAGGGGAATAAGGCTGTAGGATGACTTTTCCCCCCTTTCTGCCCCCTTTCAGAAATAGCTGTGAACAAAGAAGGTAATTTCCTTGCACTTTTCATCTTCCCGGTGTCTTTTATCTCCCAAATCTGTAGCATAGCCTTGGAAACAAGTCCTGTTTTTCTTTGAAAGAGATTCTTGTGTGTATAAATACCATACAATTACATTCACCTCCACATTTCCCTGAAGCTGGAACCTCTCCCTCTCTCCCCACACCTCTGGAGCCCCAGGCTGGCGGCGTTTTGGCAGCGAGCGTGGTTTGAAGGAGCACAGGGGTTGCCATGCTCTTTCCTGACACCCAGCTTCTTTGTTCTCTTTCCAGGAATTCTGCAGACAATCCCACCCAGTGACTGTGAGTGATTTTTATTTCTACTTTGCTTTGTAGGGCTTCTACCTGCTGAGGCTGCTCACCTGGGAGCAAATCCAGCTCCCTGCCTCAAACCCCAGGTGGATCTGGAAGCAGAGAAGCAGCTGATCAGAGAAGTAAGTTGGGAAGAGTGGCTTTGACAAAATCTTTTTTCATAGTGATCATTACAAATATGGTTCAGCCTTTCCAGAACACTTCTCTTTTTCTATTTTTCTCTTATTTTGTAATCCTTGGACTTCTCCTATGAACATACCATGTGTTATGGAGACCATGTGCCTTATGATAACCCACCTCTTGTTCCTACCTCTCTGGGGATGGATTGGAATGGATTCCCAGGCAGAATTTTTGGAGGAACTACATGTGAAATTGTCAAAAAATAGAGGAATAGAGTTGAGGAAAGCAGTAGTCAAAGGTGTTAGGAAGAGTACAGAGATGAGGAAAAAGAAGAATACAGAGCCAGGAGGAGCCAGAGGGAAACAAAACTCTCTCCTTGCTGTTTAGAAAGTTCATTCCAGGGCACCACAACCAGCCAAGGCAGCCGTTTTTAGGGCTGAACAGTCACTTTCATCAACAATTCACTCCTGTGTCAACTTAAGTCACAGGAAAAGTCAGTGAATGCTGGTGCTGGAGTTGTATTGGGATGGGCATAAGGTGTGACCTGGAATGGACCTGGATGTGGCCTTGGGGACAGTCACAGGACAGTTGCTGTGCCTTGCAGGAGTTCCAGGAGAGGCTCACCCAGCTCCAGGCCAGCTCCCAAGCAGAGCAGGCGTCCTGCGCCCGCCCGGAGAAGGACATCAGCAGCCTGAGGGATGACTTTGATCTCAAGGTGTCTGTTCTCCAGGATCTCCTCAGGAAGGAAGCAGGTGTGGAGGAGGCAGGTGGAGGCTGAGCAGCTCAGCCCAGGTTCCCTCAGGAGCAGGGACTGTTTCTGCACTCACATCTGTGGCAGCCACTGCAGCAAGTGCTGCCTGGCAGCAGCAGTCCCTGCTCCCAGCCCACGCTCATCCACAACAGGAGCTGGATTTACGACTCTGTCCCAGCTTTGTCCTCTTCCCTATTTCCCTGACTTCTTTCCCTGTCGGGATCATCCTGACCCTGATTCAACCCTGGAAGCCTTGAGGCAATGAAAAGCCTCATTTTTGAGTAAAACATCTGCTTTTTGCCCACGTAGCAGAGTTCCCCTGCTGAGGACAGTGTCTCTGGAGCAGAGGTCACTGTGCTGTCCCCTTCCCCCTGCACTCTCATTCCCCAGGCCGAGGTGGCTGCCGCAGTCTCTTCCTCCGTATGCAAATGTGCTGCAGCACTTGCTCTCCCGGTGGATTATCCACACCATCGCTCACTGCAAGGCAGATATTCCTCTCACATCCTAGAAACTGCCTCCTCTGCCTCTCCATTGCTGCTTTTCATGGACACCTGCAGTGCCTCAGAGCATGGTTTGTAATGTGCTCATACAGCACTTATCACCCACTAGTAATTCTTGAACCTGTATTCTTCATTTTTTGTGCTATCATTTTTTGAGGTGAAAAGAGGTTCTTTATTTCTTCCCCCTTTGATTACAAATATGCACCCCTAGCATCTGAAATTGATTATTTTTGGAGCCAGGCTCTCCCAGCCCTGTACAATCTGCATTCCTTTCCTAATACATCCTCTCAGTTTTTCATGGTTTTTACTGACCAACAGAAGTAGGTGAATGACAACCCTTTTCCTTTCAGACACGTCATTTCTAGCTTTGGGGGAAGACTCTGGGAGATGGTTTCACAGATTTATATCTAGTTTTGCACAGCTCATTACCAACATTGTGGGCATTTCCTCTTTTCAGCTGACACACGGACTAGAACAATTTCTGACCACACACTTTCATATGAAGATGCTGTTGCTGCAGCACATGAAGAGCCAACATCAGCCCAGGTACCCTCCAGGCTCCTTCTCCCCTTAGAATTAATAACCCTGAGTGGGTAACGTTGTGCTTCATCTCCCCCAGGACTCTCACTGCATCTTTCCAAAGCTACAGCCTTTGTTTTCCTCTTGTCCCCAGGACCCAGCTGGGACTGTCACAGACACCAGTGGGGTGAGCAGGGCAGTGCTGGAGCAGTGGGAGCTGTCACTGCCCCGGGGATTTCCCTGCCTGCAGACCAGCAGCTGGTGCTTGCCAGGTCAGTGCCATCCCTGCTCGTGCCAGCTGTCCCCTGGGCAGCACCCTCAGGCAGCTGCAGGTACCTTCTGCCATGACACCACAGCTGCTGAGCTCCAGCTGTCAGTGCAGCCCCAAACCAGGCACATGTGAGTTAAAATGATCGACTGGTTTGGGTGGGAGGAACCTTAAAGCTCATCCCATTCCACCCCTTGCCTTGGGCAGGGACACCTTCCAATGTCCCAGGCAGCTCCAAGCCCTGTCCAGCCTGGCCTTGGACACTGCCAGGGATCCAGGGGCAGCCACAGCTGCTCTGGGCACCCTGTGCCAGGGCCTGCCCACCCTCCCAGGGAAGGATTCCATTCCAACACCCCATCTATGCCTTCCTCTGGCAGTGGGAAGCCATTCCCTGTGTCCTGGCACTCCAGCCTCTTGTCCAAAGTCCCTCTCCAGCTTTCTTGGAGCCCCTTTAGGCACCAGGACAGGCTCTAAGGTCTGCCTGGAGCCTTATCTCCTCCAGGATGTTTTTACCCCAAAACTAACTTTGCCCTGTTTGGGTGGATGAAGAGCTGTTCTCTGCAGTGCTCAGTGAGGCCATGTGCCAGAATTATGAGAGAAAAATGGAGATGTTCAAGTCAGCAAACGTGGATGCCAAAAAGTGTGTGTTCCTGGTAACAAATCCTGCCTGGAGCTGCAGGCAGAGGAGCCTTAAGTGCCCACACAGGTTATGGAGACGCCTCCTTTTCCTCTTGAAAGAGGGCCTTGAAGGGCACTTGGAGCCCTCTCATGCCTTACAGGTAAGGCAGCAGCTGTCCTGTGGCTCATGGATGGACTCTTCCCATCACTGAGGCCACTTTTGCCTCCAGCTCACGCATCTCACAGTGTTTGCAGCACATCATCCACAACTAACAGCAAAATTTCCCAATAATCCTATTTCAGGGGCACTGTCAGGGCCTGGAGGACAGGGCTGGGATATGAGGGATGCAGGCTTGGACTCGTGCTCAGCCCAAATCAAAATCAACCTGGCTCAAGGTTTTCTCTCTGTGAGAGCTGTCCTGAGAGAATTCCCTTAGCCAGAGTACACCACCACATACTGAAGCAGCATGGGGGCTTGGGCTGCTCCAGAAATACACGATTGAAGCAAATTCTGCTGATTTTTCACTTACTCCATTGTGTGGAACTATAGACAATTAGAAAAGCTGTGACAGAGTCTAATTCTGAACAGTTCTGTGGGTTTTAACCAGTCCTTCTGTGGGTTTTAACCAGTCTTTCAGCTTTCCTGTGGTGTGTGCTCATTCTGTTGAGTCTCTCCTGTCTCAAAAAGGAGCTGCTATGAAATGCAGAACAGCAGTGTCTGTAATTTGTGGGCAATTCTGTCTCTTAAGGGAGAGCCCTCCAAAGAAAGCCTTCATTTGGATTTGATATCAAATGTTAGTGGTCTTATTGCAAGAATGAATCCTATTCCTTTTGTGGCAAGCAAGGGAAAATGCCCTTCTAATCACATTGTTAAATCCAGGTTCTGTACAGATTGGGCAGGAGGGTTTGTTCCACAGGTGAGGGGATTTCAAAGCCCCCTGCTCAAGCTTTACACATCAGGGCAGCTCAGCAGAGCAAGGATTGAATCCTTGGATTCAGTGTGTGTTAAGCAAAGGAAAGGGAAGGTCGCCTGGCAGGAGCAGTGCAGCAGAATAGCAGGTCACTTCTGGGGGAGAATGAGCCTTTTCACAGGGTTTAATAATATGGAGATAATTAGGAGGCTGTTATCAGTAAAGGGGTTATCAGCCAATTTGAGACAGTGCTGGCCAAGCTGAGCTAGACAAAGGAATGGCTCTGTAGCATGGCTTTATTTCCATGCCAGAGCATTATTTCAAACACAGGCCTGTGCCAGTGCTGCCTTAACAACGCTGAGGTGACACAAATCATGGCTGATACTGCCCCAAAATGGAAGCCACACTGAGGCTTTCAGATCTAGCACTCCCACCTCCACCAGTTAAAATAATTCTCTGTGTAATTTTGGCACCCTTTGTGCATCTTTGAAAAAATAATTAAATGTTTATTTAAATAAGGATTTAAATATAAAATACACAAAACAAGGGTTTTAAAGATAATTTTGTGAGCTTAGATTTGGATTTCTGGACATCCTTGTTGACTGAGTGCTTGGAGTAACACATGCTTTGCCTTTGTGGAGTATTTTGCCCAGAGGAGCTGTGGATGCCCCATGATCCCTGGAAGTGTCCAAGGCCATGCTGGACAGGGTTGGAGCAACCTGGGAGAGCGGGAGGTGGCCCTGCCCATGGCAGGGGGTGCAGTGAGATAGCCTTTAACATCCTTCCAGCCCAAACCACTCTGGGATTCTGGGATTCTTTCTATGACAGAAAGTGTTAATAATAAGTAGAATCTGCTATGATTACTCAGGGCAGAAAATCTTATCATAATTCCCAATTTTCTCTCTTCCCAAATGTCACCCATGGAAGGACGTGCCTCCTCCACTCCTGTGAAGCTGGTTCTTGAGCTCAGTGTTCCCTGCTGCAGGCTGCAGGTGCTGGAGCAGCAGGTGGTCGGGGGGAGCAGGCTCAGAACGAGGACCTGAAGGAAAAGCACGAACGCCGGAAGAAGCACACGGACGAGCCGAGGCTGCAGCTGTGGCCGCCCTGCAGGAATCCAGCGAGGACAGCAGCGAGCCGGCTCTCCTCAACGTCTGCGACTCCATCCAGGAGGAGGTTCCAGCCAAGAGCAAGGCGCTGGAGAAGGTGAGGGAGCAGCTCCTTCCTCCTCCACATCCTCCTTTTTTATGTTACAGGGTTTAGGGCTGTGGGTTTAGAGAATGACTCTGGCTGTGTCAGTATTTCATACACCACATTGTGTGTGAGAGCTTCTATAAAATCCCTCAGGTGGGGGATTAAGCTTTTGAAGCCCAAACCCCCCAGCTGTAAAGGCTCAGTGTGTGACACTTGGCGGGAGGAGCACGTGTTGGGATGGGAGGGGATGCGACTCCCTCTGCCGACCTACAGATCTGCTGCAGCTGCTGCCAGTTCTGAGCACGCTTTCTGGGGCAACAAACAAAACATAAAAGTAATGATCTTGAATTTTACATTTAAAATCTTCATTTTCAAAACACTTGAAAATCAGTTTTGCTCTGATATTTTGTGGTATAATCAGAGGGTCTGCAAAAAAATTGACATTTGTGTGTACAGTCCTAGACCTGCACATGAAGGACTTACTTTATTTGGGTATTTAGATTATCAAAGAAATATTGCACCTTTTAACCAAAAAGCGAAGAAATTCCAGGAGTTCTAAGACCACATCAGTAAGATTAGCTTCAGGTTCATTCAAAAATCATTCCTGTGGAGAAACATGAGAAAACTTTCTTTAAAACAGACATGGAATAATCTCTTCACACAAATTTCATCCTAATTTGTACCTAAATTAGAAAACCTTCCAAATATTGAAGCTTTCCTGAGTGTCTTTCTCTGCCTGGCAAATTCCTGCACTCGTAGTATCCATCGGTCTCTCTGCCTTATAACCGTGGTGTTTTGTGTCCAGAGACCGAGATCAAAGACCTGCAGCTGGAGTTTGGGCTGGAGAAGATGGATTACCTGAGCACCATCCGGCGCCAGGAGCGAGACCTGCAGCTCTGCCAGCAGCTGCTGGATCAGGTGCAGTCCCTTGTGCAGCGGGACTGCAACTACAGCAACCTGGAGAGGACCCGTGTGAGCCCGTGTGGGCCGAGGAGAGCGGCTGCTGGAGAATTCCAGAGCCTGTCACTCAAAGAACCCACCGGCCCGCAGGTGAGGGAACAGGAGGGCGCTGTGCGGGACAGGGAGGTGACGATGGCTCTGCCACGCTTGGGCTGCGTGCACTCGTAACATCTTCCAAAGTTTGTCTGGAAAGTGTAACAAAGGTGGCACGTGGTGCGGATCCCTCGGGAATGTGAGCAGTGCCGGGATCAGGGAGTGCAGCCAGCAGGGTGGCGACTGTTCTACACACAGCGACCATCTCTTCCCACAGCGGTCCCAGCCCTGCCACAGCCCAAACCTGGCCGGACAAGCCCCTCGAATGAGAGGAGCCAGCGGTACGGCCCATCCCTCCTCCATTTCCATCCCATTTTACCAGTTTTGCCTTATTGCTGGCTCTGCTGACAGCGTTTGCCACCTGCAGCCCGAGGAAGACCACTACAGGCTGGTGCTGGACAGGAGCGACAGCGAGACCATCGCCAGCAACTACTTCCGATCCCGGCGAGCCAGCCAGATCCTTCAGCTGGACCAAGGTAATGCCCTTTTCCCAGATATTGCCGGCACTCTTCATTTTCCTCCCTTTCCTTGAGAAACCAAACGGCAACCCACCCAGGATCAACTCTGCCTCAACCCCTTGACCTCTCAGGGGTTTCTCGCAGGACGCAGCCGCATTTTGGCGTCCTGCACTGACCCACCACAGCCCCTTCCTCTCCTCTCGCAGCTCCCGCGGGTTCCGAGGGGGCTGCGGGCAGCACCGGCACCGCGCCCCGGGCCCGGCCCTTCCGCCTGCAGTCCCTGGCGCCCAGCGCCGACACCAAGCGCAGGAAGGGCAACGCCAGCTCCAGCGCCCGCCGCTTCTGACCCACCGCGGGCATGGGCGGCCCGGGCCACCGCGGCCGCCGGCGCCGCGCAGGAGGGAGGGGACGGCGGCGGGGCCCCCCCTTGTCCGCGGCGGCCGCGCTGAGTCGCGATAGCGCTGTCGCGACAGTGACGGCGCGCGACGCGCTTGCGCTGCATCCCAGCCTCGCGGAGCTGTCTGTCGATGATTGGCTGGAGGCCCCTCGGCCCTGGCGCTGATTGGCTGGGGGCCGCTCGGCGCTGGCGCTGATTGGCTGGAGGCTGCCCGCCTCTGGGATAGTTCGGCGACCGGGAGCAAGATGGCGGCGGCCGCTGTGGCTGTGTGTGGGCTCCTGGCGGTGCTGGCGGCGGGCGCTGAGGGCGGGCCCCGCACGCTGGTGCTGCTGGAGAACGGGAACCTGCGCGACACGCACTCGATGTTCTTCCGGAGCCTCGCGGGTACCGAGCGGGCCGCGGCGGGATCCCGGGAGGGGTTGGATGGGGCGGGGAGAGCGGGGTTGTGGACCCAGGGTCAGGATGGGGGAGGAGGTTGGGGTTATCCGAGGGGACGGGGATGTTTGGGGTCTTCGGGTCAGGCCGAGGGAGGAGATTGGAGTCCCCTAGCTGGGCTGAGGGCGCAGCTAGGGGTGCCTTGCTGGAAGGGGCTGTGTCCTCTCGTCAGGATGGGGGAGAGAAGGATGGGGGAGGAGGTTGGGGTTATCCGAGGGGACAGGTGAGGATCCCCTAGGGGAGAGGGGACTGTTGGGGTTCCCTGTTCAGGATGAGGGAGAGACTGGGGATGCTGTACCGGGCAAATCTGTTGGGGTTCCCTGTTCAGGATGAGGGAGAGATTGGGGATGCTGCACCGGGCAAAGGGAGGAAATTGGAGTTTCCAGGTGGAAAAGCAGGGGTGTTTGGGGTTCCTGTGTCAGAGTGGAGGAGGAGATTGGGGTCCCCTGTCAGGCTGAGGTAGCAGATCGGGGTCCCCTGAGGGAGAACGGGCGGTTTGAGGTCTCCTGGTCAGTCTGTGGGAGGTGATGGGGACGCTGTGCCTGGATGAGAGAGGAGATTGGGTTCCCCATGTCAGAATGGGGCAGGAGATCGGGGTCCCCTGGTCAGGCAGAAAGGGAGATTTGTGTTGCAAGGGAGAGGGGCTTGTTCCCCTGGTCACAACGAAGAAGATTTGTGTCCCCATGTCAGGCTGAAGGAGGACATTGTGAGGGGGGTGCTGTTGGAGTTCCCTGGTCAGGCTGAGTGAGAAGAAAGAGATCCCAAGCCAAGGGAGGAGATTGGGGTTCCCTGGCGTAGGGGGAGGTGCTGGGGGTACCCTGGCCAGGCAGAGGGAAAGGACTGGGAACCCTGTGCCAGACTGAGGGAGGAGATTGGGGATCCCTGGAGGAGGGGGGTGGCTGCTTGGGCTCTTCTGGTCAGAATGAGGCAGGAGATGGGGGTTGTTTTCCCAGCTGTGCCTGTTTAGGTCCCCTGCAGAATCAGTCCCTGTTTCATGGGTGACAGCGAGGCATCCTTTGGCATCAGGGCTCTTCAGGGGATCCACCTCTTGGGTTTATTTAGGAACTCTCAGGTGCTGCTCTTAAAAAGCAGTGTTTCCAAACTGTTCTTTCACTGGGGAGATAAACCTCTGGCTCCTGCTGCAGTTTTGCTGCTCCATGTGTGGTTTCATGGCATGCAGAAGTTGTCCCTTTTGTGTCCTGCTGCAGACAGGGGCTTCGACCTCACCTTCCGGACAGCGGATGACGCCGGCCTGTCCCTGATAAAGTACGGGGAGTTCCTGTACGACAACCTCATCATCTTCTCCCCATCCATAGAAGGTAAATGCGCAGGGGGAACCTCTGGAGCTTCATGGCGTCTTTGGAAGGGGATTTCCAGCTGTTCTGTGAATTTTATTTAAGTCCTATGCTTTGGATGTACTCAGTAGCAAACTGCACCTCTGTCCAAGCCTTTATTGGAGGTTCTTCCATTGATTTGGTGATTTGCCATGGTTTAATTCTGCCCAGGGGGTTATTTCTGAGCTCCAGCCATGAATTCCTGCTGTTTGCTTTCAGACTTTGGTGGGAACATCAATGTGGAGACCATCACCGCGTTCATCGATGGCGGTGGCAGCGTCCTCGTCGCTGCCAGCTCAGACATCGGTGAGTGCAGGTGTTCCTCCAGAGAATTCACTCACTGCAGCAAAACCAGCTGCTCCTTGTCACCTCAGAGCTTGCTCGGGGAGGAAATGGGTCGTTCATGCCTTTAGTAACACGTTCAGTGGGATTTCAGTGGAGAGGTCATGTTGCTCCCTGGGGTTTGGCTCATAGAGCGTTGAGCACACGACTCTCAGCTGAATTTACTGTCGAGTTCCTGTGTCGTGTGACAGAGGATCCATTGTCCCTGCAGGTGACCCCCTGCGAGAGCTGGGCAGCGAGTGTGGGATCGAGTTCGATGAGGAGAGGACAGCGGTCATCGACCACCACAACTATGACATCTCCGACCCCGGCCAGGTGAGGGCCTTGCCTGCTCCTGGCTGCTTGGGTGGGTGCAGAGCCTGAGGGGTGACTCCTCTGTCCTTGTGCTCCCGTCTTTCCTCTCTCCCTTCTCTCCCCTGCTCCTCCCAGGAAAGTGGAAAATAATCCCTGCTGCTGCATTCAGTTCTGCTGCTGTCAGGATGCTTCAGGCTCTAGTTTCAGATGGTCACCATGTGCAGGCGGTGGGGCTGTGGTTAATGCTGGTTCTGGATCCCTCCAAAGCTTGGAATTTCACCTGAGGGTGAAGCGTGTCAGGCACCAAGTGCAACGCTTCAGGTGTGGGAAGGGAGAATTTCAGTTCCAGATTTTCAGATCAGAATAGAAACATACAAGCATTTCTACAATTGGGCCTGCCTGGTGTAATCCAGCATTTTAAAATGAAAACCTATATTAAATTCTGAGGTAAATATGCTCTGGTAATTTCTGTTTAAGGTAAACTGTTGAAGCAGTACATACGTGCATGTTGTCCTGGTTTGAGGATGAAGGTTGCTAAATGCAGGGAAATAAAACACTGTTGGTGCTGCTGTCTTTATCAAGTGGCAGTTTGTATTTCCTTGAAAATCAGTATTAACCTAATTTGATCATAAACACAAAAATGCTGTTGTTTTGCTTTTTAATTGAACTACAACATTCACCCAACAGTTGTAATGGTCTGTAAAGTAAACTTTTAACTGAGAAGCTGTTGTTTGTCATTAGACCCAGACTCACCTCACACGGATCTCTCTTGTTTCCCCAGCACACGCTGATCGTGGCCGACACTGAGAACCTCCTGAAGGCGCCCACCATTGTGGGGAGGGCAGCACTGAACCCCATCCTGTTCCGAGGAGTTGGGTGAGCAGCAGGGCTGAGGTGGGGGAAGGGCAGTTGAACCTGTGGTGTTGCTGCGAGGTGAGCGTGGGGTCAGCCCCTGGGGCTCTTAATGTGAGCTTAACAGATCTCTCTTGATTTCAAACAAAAGTAGAAGTAGTTTAGTTGTTGACTTCCTAACAAAATAGTGGAAGAAGTATTTAGTTTCTCGCAGGTAGAAGGGTGAGAAGGTCCATGGGGTTGAGGAGGTGGCCCCACATTCCTCTGGGTGCGGGGACCCTGGGGGTGTTCGTGCTGCTCACCGTGGCTTTTCCTGCTAGGATGGTGGCTGACCCTGACAACCCACTGGTGCTGGATATCCTGACTGGCTCTTCCACTTCCTACTCCTTCTTCCCAGATAAGCCCATCACTCAGGTACACTCCCTTCCATTCTCTCCTGTTTTGAGCTGTGCTTCTGCAATTTAGTCCCTCTAACTTCAGCTGCTTGGGGAAATCCTGGAGCATTTGATCTCCTGATTAATTTGGAAAGGGTTGGGCTGTTGGCTGCTTCCCAGTGTTCCCTCCCTCTCTGCTTTCTGCTGGTGAGGAGGTGTTTGGCGTGAGGGACACATGTCCTTCATGCTCTGGAGGAGAGGCCAGCCTAGATCAAAGCATCTCTCCCATTCCATCCCAGCTGGAGTGGTACCAGAATCCTATTCCTGCTTTTTCTGAGCTTCATAGTTACTCCTTGACTGCAGCCAGTGCTACTCCATCCAGACTGCCCCACCCCACAGCAGACTGCTGTCGGTGCATCCCCAGGGGGCTCAGCCCTGTCCCCGCTTGCTCCGCAGTACCCGCACGCCGTGGGGAAGAACACGCTGCTGATCGCGGGGCTGCAGGCGCGCAACAACGCCCGCGTCGTCTTCAGCGGCTCCCTCGACTTCTTCAGCGACGCCTTCTTCAATTCTGCCGTGCAGAAAGCGACTCCCGGCTCCAAGAGGTGCGTTGGCTTCCCTGGATGAGGAGTCTTTGGGGAGCCCTTTGAAGACAGAACTCGTGGGAAACAGGCAACAAATGTTTATGTTTTGGGAAGGAGCAGAAAGCTTGAATTGAATTGGTGTGACACATCCTTTACCGTTGCAGAACAAAGCGCTTTGGAAAGCAGCTCCTTCCTTTAACCTCAGCTCAGTTTGTGTTGCTTTCTCCTCCCTTTGGTTTGGGTTTGGGCCACGGGGTGTTTTCTCAGCTGTCTCAGCCTCCCTTGTTGCGCAGGTACTCCCAGACAGGTAACTATGAGCTGGCCGTGGCCCTGTCCCGCTGGGTGTTCAAGGAGGAGGGCGTTCTGCGCGTGGGCGCCGTGTCCCACCACCGCGTCGGGGAGCTGGCGCCGCCCAACGCCTACACCGTCACCGACCTCGTGGTGAGCCCCCGGCCGGGCGGGTGGGGCGCGCGGGAGCCGCCCGGGCAGGAGCTGGGCAGCGCCGGGGCTCGGAGTGGGCGGCGCTGGTTTTCAGGCGGCGCTGCTTCATTTGTGCCAGGAGTACAGCATCGTGATCGAGAAGCTCGCTGACGGCAAGTGGGTGCCCTTCGACGGGGACGACATCCAGCTGGAGTTCGTGCGCATCGACCCCTTCGTGCGCACCTTCCTCAAGAGGAACGGTGGGTCCCTGTTGCGGTTTGAGGGGAGTCCCCAGAGGGCCCCCTAAGCTGTAAGTTTGCTGGTAGCAGCAGGCAGGCAAGGAACCTCCACACAGCTTCTGAGGGTGCTGATTAGATGAGGGTTTATTGGGGGTCCCACCCCTGGGAGCAGCGTGGTTTCTGAGGGAGAAGGGGGGAAGGGGGA